AACGGGCTGGGTTGACTTGGTAGATGTCGTTGAGCTCCAGTTGTCGTTTGTATCCCGTCTAGAGGTGTGTTAGTTATTTGTTTCAGTGTGTAGATAACCCTCTCGGATACTGGTTCACTTACCGTCATCAAAGGACCCATCCAACTAAAGAAGAGCGACCTGAAGAAACCGGCATTGTACTCTGGCGATGGCCTCCTCGTCTCGGGGATTGGTGCGATTTTCCCCCATCTTAGTGGGTTTGGCTGCTTGTACCATGGCTTTGGTTTGACATGAGGGTGGATGGTAGCGGCCGTGGTCACGCTGGTGTTGGTGGCATTGGTCCTCATCCGGTTCAGCTCGGCCCTCTTCTCATCGTTCTCCTCCACAACCGACGAGCCTATGGCAATCTTTTCGACGTCTTCATCGCTCCTGTGTGCTTCCTCGATCTCATCGTCTCGATGTCTCTGGTCGGCTACGGGGTTCGGGAGGCTGATCTCCTTTTCTTTTTCGTCTGGGAATTCGGCCATGTTGATATTGTAGAGAGAGCGCCGTCTTGGCAGCAGGGCTTATAGAGAAGCCTCGCTGAAAGGCAATGAATGATCTTGTACCTGTAATGAGGAAAGGACCGTAGTCCGTCGTGATTTTTGGGCAGCTATATCAAAGAATAAAATACTATTCGTCGGTTGTTGTCATTATGCGCAAAAGGGGTGATGGTTGTTGCCGGGGGGGGTTGGCAGGTCGCAAGCCGCAGGCAGACAGCAGGTCACGGACGTAGGTTGGAGTTAGAGGTGCCGTTACTTGACTGAGTTGGAGGTCTTGTGCCGTTCAAATTGCAGTAGATGCGATATAATAATAAGCAAACGAGGTGGAGCAAGACATCTACTGAAGAAAGTGAATGGTTGGGTTTGGAGTATATTAAAAAATAAGGTGAAGGGTGCTGGCTTGTGAGGGAGGAGAGGAAGCCAGGTTTGGGGCGAGGATCAAGCTGTAAATGCGATCTCCCGACTTATGGTGTATAAGTCTAGTCGACTTCCGTTCAGTTGGATGCCAAACCTTGGGGTCAACCTTGGGATGGAAGAGTGGTGGCAAGAAAAAGGGAGAAAAGCAGAAAATGAGACTCCCACACTCGAAGAAGGATGACACAACTTGAAATATTTAGCAAAGAGATAAGAGGCCAAATCAAAAGGGAAAGAGCAAAAGGGCGGGAATGGAACAGTGAAAAATGAGGTGGAGGGATACCACTTCCACTTCGAATCAACACTCAGAAAGCGGATCTGATGCTCGGTGCGTGTTGGCGCCTTCCTTCCGTGTTGTGTACATTTCGTCGTATCTTTTTGTTCCTTTTTGTGATGGAATGCCGAGGATGCCCACTTATTCCATCGCCTTCACAGTTCTCTCCATCCTTCTTTTCTTCGAGAAGTGGACTTTAGGGAAAAATGCTTGAAAAAGTCAGTTCCCCACCGCCGTCACCGATCCCCAGGACCACGGCTTCAATGTCCGAGCTATGCTATGTACACTAAAAAGAAAACACGAGAGGGAGTCGGGGTTCGGGGTCGAAGACGCCCCGCCGCCGATGACGCCTCCAAATCGTTTTCGTCTCTTGTTTATTCAGCAGGTGTGTAGCCCGCCCGCCCCAGCCCCCATCCCCACCTTCAAACCGCTGAGGTCTACTTTGTAAAAGTCGCCCACAGCTGCAACTGAAAGGTCTGAAAGGCTCCGGTGCCCTGCATCCGGTGGAGGTGACCGGCCCCGACTTGCCGATGCAGGCAACGCCCCTCCTCCACCCCGTTGCCGTGCTTGGTGCTGCATCAAAAGTCCACGGTTGTCCACGTTGATATCTTTGCGCTACAGTAGTGTACGCGTACATCGATGTACACTAGAAGCACCACAGAAGCAGTTGCAGTTGCCCTGACCGTCCTTGGCCAGCCCTACATACCTCGTACATACATATTAGGGGTTGTCTCAGCACCCCGCCTGATCTTGACTTTATTTCCCTTGGGTGACACATCTGTTTGTCTTTTCCCCAATATCACCCATCGAGCCTATCGACCTGCCCAATTAGTCACTTTAGGCTAGGTACTAGCCTCCCACTGCCTCCTCGATTATGCGGGTGTGACTACACCGAACTTTGACAGCTTTGTGTTTTGACACTTGCATTTCTATCGTGGTCAGTCATAGCTCCTTAACGCCGAAGTCTTATTAGCTTCCCGAATGGATCTACACTAGAGGTCGAGAACCAACTGTTCCTCGTAAATCCGGATAAAACGGCTCACAACACGACAGTCTGCACGGCAGGAAGAGGTGTAGGTACATACATACGTAGGCTCCATCGTTGCCTCACCTTTCTTCCATGCACCTCCGCAACCGTCTTTGTTTTATCAAGGGCTTCAAGTGACTGTGCTTCACCATCTCGGTGGCTATCTCTTTTTTAGCGAGCTGACACCGCTTTGATTAACAATACACCACCAGCCCGTCGAGTCATTCAGATACTTGAAGAAAGAAGCGGTATCACTAGCGCAACAGCTCCCCGGACTCTATAAAAATCCTTTGTTTCAACAGACGAGAATCGGCACCGCTCCGGACTCTGATGCGAAGCTCGCTTATGATGTGGAGTGATGATGCCCCAGCTCCAGGCATCACTGCAGTGAGGCGGTCATGAACTGCACGTTACGTTTGTCACTCGGAGCCGTGATCGCCGTGTTGCACGGGTAGCAAGATAAGCTTATATCTTTGCAGTTGTTGTAGGTAGTGAAAATGAAAAGTACCTCTACCTATCACCAGTCAAACCCAAGTGACTGGCAACATGACATCTGTTCATGAATCGCTAGTACATTTCGCAATCCCAATTCCAACAACTCTCAAAAACTCCCATCGAACATCTGGCTCGAGCACCCGTCATGCACAGCGTACATCTACCTACTTATGACGCATGCGAAGATCCTGATCTCCTTGCCTGCCACGATTGCTCAACTGTCTGTCACCTGCACACTTTTCACATATGTACATGTTGCCGTTTTCTACCGCAGTGCATACCTCTACATGTCAACAGAGCGGCTTGTATAGCCTGACCACATTTGACTTTGTAACATGTAAATAAGTCAAGGCCAAAGAATTTAACAAAGAAAACAGAAATTATAGACCGACAACAGTCGCATCAGGGCGGACGCTACTTGCTGTGGCCTGTCGTGAGTGTGATGATGTTCTCGGCCCGGCCCCAGAAGTACAGTAATGTCCCCTGTTATTGCAACACAATTCCTGCAGCGATTTTTCTTGCAATAAGTAGGGTGTTTGCAAAGGGGGGATCCTATGCACGGACCAGGAGTAGGCGTTCAAGCCACTGGAAGACGCCGAGGGGCCGGAAAAGTGGGTCGCCAAGCCCCGATATGAAGGTATAAGTCTTCACTCCCTAAGAAATTCGACCCCTGTTAATGCAAAAATCTAGTCATCACTGTTGCAATTAGCAGTTAGCAGTCCCAGTATGGGTTTGTAAATCTTGTACTCACAAATCTGTGCAATAAGTAGGGTGCTAGCATTAGGGGGGGTTGCAAAAGCAGGGGACATTACTGTAGGCCCGTAGCCCGTGTGTACCTACACTAGTGTACTTAACAGAGGCTTATCGGTGCCGAGTCGGCGAATGACTTGCAAAGCTTACGAACCCCCCCCTCCCCCCCCTTTTTTTTTTCTCTTTCTTTTTCCATTTTTCTTCTTGGTTTTGTCTTGTTTTGTTTTGTTTTGTTTTGTCTTGTTCTTCGCTTATCTCGATCTCGAATTTCGGGGTCCGATAACCATGAGAAAAACAATGATCCGTCACAACGACATAATAGAAGAATCCGATTGGCGTCTTCAGCACCCTTGAAAGATGCGTTGGACTGTCTTTCGATTGCTGGGTTTGTTTCCCAGCCGCTTGAAAGATTTTGAAGAGGAACAGGGACATTTCATACAGTCTCACATCATGATGGCCTCTGGTACCTCGAAGAAGACGACCTACAATACAGCCTCAAAACAACCTAACATCATTGCCATCATCCAATTAGCCATAGCATAAATTTCGATAAATCCCGTAGACGAAGAAACTTGTGGATCATTTACATCTACCCTTATTCTAACAGTTCGTAAAGGAAAGTTGTACATATCCTCTTCCTTCCCAAAGAGAATCAGGAACACGTCATCTAGGTAGGTCATGGATCTGACACGATAGCCCTACCTAGTACCAAAAACACACCTATCTCTTTTAATAATGACCCAAAACGGTCAACATTCGCATCATGTATATCTCTCTTACCCGTCTCTTGAAAGGGTGTTGTGATTTATCATATATCGCCAACTGCATGAAGGGGAAGGTGGTGGTGGTGGAGGAGGAGTCCTTCATACTGCGGGCTATCAGCACCTGGAAAACCGTGATCTCCTTATCCACTTCGTACTAAGATGCAGTATTTACTGAACCCAATTTGCAACGAATGTCAATCCTGCAATGGGTTGCTGCCTGGACGCGAGCTGACGAGGTAATATACATCTTTCACATAGGAATAAAAGGGGGAACTTCGAAGAATGGCGGTACATCAAGGGACTAGTTTAGTGTATTAGCATGCTTGGGGTATTATAGATTAACGATGGTGGCAAGTGGTTGGACGTCGTGGGTTGTTGGTGGTTGTTGTTGGTTGTCGATGTTATGGTTTCATCAGTAGCATGGTAGGTAAAAACTGATCTGATGATCAATGGATATGAAGAATCTATAGCCCCGTTGAGGCAATCCAATGAGAGTGACAGACACGAACACTGACTATGCAGATGTGCCGAATGGCTGGACACGAGCTCATGTTATAGAAAAGCCGACGGACGAGACGGGAAACGACAACTAAGACGATAAACAGACAACCTTTCACATCACCCGTGAGCAGGACAATCAGCGACCTTGTACAAAAACAACAAACCAATATACTTGACTTCGAGGACCAGCCTCCCTATACTATAACGAAGCACCCTTAACTCTGAACAAGAGACACCAAGTCACTCCTCATCACTCACTCTTCAGGCTCAGCATCAGGATTGCGATCCTGTTGCTCATAATCCTCATCTTCACCTCCACCGTCCTCTCCCTTCTCCCCCTCCTCTCTCTTCTCCTCTTCCTCACCCTGACCCTGGTTACCATCCACAACAGCCACCACAGCCACCTCAAGCTCGACAGTTTCCTTAACCTCCTTCTCCCCTCCCTTCTCTTTCTCTTCCTCCTCCACTTCCTTCTTCCCAGAAACCAAAGCCGAAGCTGCACTCTCAGTCTCAGCCTCAGCCTCAGCCTCAACCTCAACCTTCTTCTCTCTACCCCCTCTCTTCGGAGCAGCAGCCTTAACCACCTTTTGCTGCTTTTTCTTCCGCGTATCCTTCACAGTCTTCTTTTGCCTTTTCTTCGCCGGACGTTTACCATCAGGTACATACTCCTCATCATCATCATCTTCCCCTTTTTTCTCCTCCTCCTCCTCCTCCTTCTCACTGTCTTCAACTTGCTCATCTTCTACTACCTCCTCAATCCTCTCCAACTTCCTCTTCTTATTACCGTCCTTCTTGCCAGCCTCAAGCACCTTCCTCTTCCCCTTCCCTCCCTTACCAACACCAACACCCACACCTACACCCCCACCCCCAACAGGCAAAACAATATTGATATCCAAACCGCCTTTGCCCTGCTTGGCTGCGATGACCTTGGTAGCATGGGCAGAGGCGGCGGCAGTGATCTTATCAGCTCTTTCAGCAATGGCAGCGGTTTTCCTGTTCTTGCCCTTTTCTACATATGTTCCCTTTGCACTTGAGTGAATGAAAAGGGGTTCGGCGTTGTTGGCTTCTTGTTGGTGGAGGTTTGACGGCAAGAGGTGTTGGTACTGTTCAGGGATATCGTACTTGACGTTTCCATTGGCTATGGCGACGCCGATAAAGTCAAATAGCCCGCCGGGGCCGTTTTTGGCGGAGCTTCTGGTTACGCAGGGCATTTTGGGACGGAAGTTTTGAAGGGAATAGACGGGTGGGGGGCAAGATGGTGTAGTGATGATGGTAGTGTGCCTGTGTAGTAGTGTCGCAAGGGATGATGAATGAGTCTCGGCTAACGCGCGAGACAAGAAGGGATGAACACACAAGGTTATTGGATTGATTGGATCTGTCCGGGGAGATTGGAGGCAGCATTCACTGAGGACCAAGACAAGAGTGACTGAAACCTGGGGAATCAGCTGCGTTTTTATTGAGCCCCCCCAAAGCTCGCACGCACAAAGCATTGGGAACTTGCGATGCTTTTAGCACGGACTTCATGTCTTTGTTAACGCACGGGTGGTAGAGAAAGGTTTTGGCCGAGCTTTCTGATGCTCTTGTTGGCGCTTCCCCTTTGTCTGAGATGGGTTTTTGAAAGAGACGTTACGTATGAAAGGCAGACTCGAATGTGCTTTTGCTGCAGGGAATCAACATGAAGGATAATTTTCCATGGTATATTTTTACTTCCTCGATTGTCCGTGACCGGAGTCAAAGATCTTTTAAGTGATACCAAGTATAGACTGCGATTACCACCATTTATGAGGAATTCGCTTGGCTACCAGGTCGAGCCAAAGGCATCGTATAAGGTCTAGCAGAAGGCATACGACGAAGATAAAGAAATCGGAAGATACCAATGTGGTATCCCGAAGAATGACAAGGAGAGAGCAGGAGAGCGTTAACTCAAGTAAACTTGCAAAAAAAAAAAAAAAAAATGAGAGCGGCTATGGAAAAAAAAAAGTGTAGCCATCAGTTGCCAATCCTTGGTCCAGCGCAATGTTTCGTAACTCGCATGTTGCATAGTCGCTGACGCTGTCTCCCGGGTCTTGGAAAATACCAGACGTTTGCCAAACCGCTGGTCTTTCTACGGCCCTTGGGCTTGGACGAATGGATTCTGTGATGGTCCTTTGCTGTTGCCTACGTGTCTGTTGCAAGTAACCGATGTCTCCTTCTTCAAACAAGCAACTCAACGATTCGCAGCGACAGGAGTGACGCATGCCTTGCCATCGGCCTTTTTCCTGTAATCATCGGAGCTCCAGCAGTACCCAGCAAAGCAAAGTAAATGTAACAAACTGATGGGGGATATGGAGAACAGTTGCTAGAAGCCAAAAGACGCAGAAGGGCTGCATCGCGACCGGAAACGTACCTGAAAGCGTTTGGACGGGTGTTTGGCTTGACTGACAACACATCGGACGAGAAGCCTCGTCCTTGAAGAAATGCCACGTCCAACAAGGACTTAATCGGCGTCACCAGCAGGTTGCCATGCTGCGGTGCTTTGATGTCAAAGAGCCATGATAGTGATTATCGCGAGCGGATCAAACATGGTGTCAAGTCGCATGCTGTAACAATGGCGAGTGCAGACGTTCAAGGCGAGAGGTGGAGCTCGGCGAGGCTGAGGACGATTACATGCCGAATTTTGACTTGCTCCGGTGGGGTTGCACCTTTTGTTAAGAATGTTTGCCACTGATGTCTCAGGCATTGGCGTTCACGATTAAGATGCTGAAAAAGGTTGATGCGCTGGTATCATGCTTGCCGACTACGTAAAAGAAACCCGTCGAGATAGGATGCGCCAAGTCGTCACGATATTGCCGCTGGCCGTAAGAAGGCGAAAGAAAAATAATCGTACAAGCGCGGCTTTCATCCCCTTCGTTTTCTGATCCAAATAGGTGGAAAGAGGTAGAAGGGGTGACGGCCTAGACAATGTCGACCAACGGCTGACCGACCATGTTGCCCATACCATGTGAAGTCTGTCGAGTGTCGCAACCTCCAAAGTGGCTCATCTAGGTAGCCGTTTCGGTGCAAGGCGAACCGCCGGGACAGGGCCAATTACCCTCCAAATATCTGCCGTAACTCCAGCCGACGAATTTTAGGATATCCGATTTTGTTTCCATGCCAAGAGCGAAAAGAAAGAAACAAGCTAAAGGAAAACTGTGCTGCCGATGAAGCTGGAAGGACAGAGCCTCCTGGTGTTAATCAGATTGTGGAACCTAGATACCGTGATCCTAGCGGGTACCTGTTCAAGTCAGCAGGCATTCACCACAAGCAAGATTCAGATGTTCGAATATGTACCGTAGGGCTCGCGAGCCTCACGAGGAGCCGGCTCGCCGTAGCTGCTGGTGCCGGGGGCAGCGTCGCGAGGAGGACGGGCATCACGGTCGCTGGGACGGTCGTAGCCGCGATCACGGTCGTAACCGGGAGCACGGCGCTCATCAGGACCACCGCGGCCGCTGCCACCATAGCGCTCGCCGCCACGGTCATCACGGTAACGGTCGCCACCGCGGCCATAGGCCTCATCAGCGCCACCACGCTCACGACGATCATAGCCGCGGTCCTCACCACGGTAGCTGCGGTCGTAGCCACGGTCCTCACGGTAGCTGTTGCGCTCATAGCCACGGTCGCCGCCGCCATAACCGCCGCTGCGGTCATAGCCTCTGTCGTAGCCACGGTCGTAGCCACGGTCATCACGGTAACCACCGCCACGATAGCCACGGTAAGAGTCATCACGACCACCGCCATAGCCGCCGCCGAAACCGCCACCGCGACGACCGTTGCGGTCATCAAAGCGGCCTTCGCCTGTGTTTCAGTGCATCAGTTCGAGACTTTTCCGGGGGGAAACGCGGGGACAACTTACCTCTCTTGGGAGGACCGAAGTACTTGCCAGGAGTAGGGGTACGGGGACGAGCGCGACGAGCCATCTCGATGCTGAGAGTTCTGCCCTCAATAACCTCGCCCTGCAGGCCCTCCTTGGCAGCATTGGCCTGCTCAGGAGTCATCATCTTGACGAAACCGAAACCACGAGACTCGCCGGTGTGGGGGTCCTTCATGATCTGGCACTTTTCAACCTCGCCGTACTTCTCGAAGAGGCGCGTAACCTCGGCCTCCTCCAGTCTGGGGTGAATGCCGGTGACAAAAAGGTTGGAGCCAGGGTTGCGAGCACCATCCTCCTCACCTCCCTTGGACTGACCCTCGTCCTTGGCAGGAGCACTGGTGTTGATGTCAGATGATATTGTTTTTTTGGATGTTTGGACCGCATCAGGCGAGCTGGTGGCGGTGCTTACCGGTCGTTGCCGTTGGGAGACATGGAGCGACGACGCGAAGAGTCGTGGCCATCATCGCGACGCGGCGACGCACTACGGTCGCGGTCGTAGCGAGGGGCGTCCTCTAGATGAACCGGTCAGTAGCTGATGGAATATTGAGGTAGACAAGCCGTAGATGGACAGAGAGATGGGTGTGTCGCGACGCGAGAGGTGTGGTGATGATGATGATGATGATGATGATGCAGACGAGGACAGGCTGAGGCTGAAGTCGCGAAGGCCATCATCGCTCATCTGCATCCGCGTCTGGTGCTGGCGCGGGTGCTAAATGCTGACGCAAAGGCCGGGCAGGGTAGAGAAAGGCGATGACGCAGTTGAGGACGTGGACATACCATCGAAGCGATCGCCGTTGGCGTTTTCGTAGTCCATCGCAGTGGTGGCCATTTTCGATGATTGATTGGGGATGTGTAGAGAAGTTGTCGATGCGAAGGATTGGTTGGGGAAGTTGAGGATTTGGGGAAAATCCTTGGGGGTATATGGGTAATGCAATCCAAGGAAGTTGGTCGAAGGTGCAAAAGTGGTCGAGGCGCAAAAGGCAAACGGGGAATTCAGTTGTGGTGTAGAAGGAAGCGGAACCACCAGGTTGAAAGTGGACGTGTGCTGTGCTGTGTGTGCTGTGGACGCGGGCGGGACGAAAAAAAGTTCAATGGAGAACGGACAGGCAGGAAGGGGAGGGCGTGGATCGATGGGAAAGGCTGGAACGGCCAGGGAATGCACGGTTCCCTTTTAAAATTGATGTCGCATAAATCAATGGTCCTCTCAGCTTCCCTTGTTTGCGTGAGCTGCAGGGACACTGTTTGCCAATCAAGAAAAAAGCAAAAGCGATGATCTTCAATGAGTAGTACGATTGATGTGCACGAGCTACTTGAGTTTGTTGTTGTTGTTGTTGTTGTTGTTCCTGTTGCAGTGGATTGATTGATGGTGAAGTGAAGGCGGAGAGCTTGATGAACAGGCACAAAAGTGGAAACTGAAGTCTGTCGCCAGTAGTGTACAAGAAAGGCGAGACTGGCAACTGCACTGGTGGGCGGGCACGCGGCGTTCTCGTTGGGAGGAGGGCGACAAACTGAAGTGCGCCAAGGTTCGTGTGAGGCGACACGATGGCCTGTTGCCCCTGCTCTCTGCCTTTTCCGTCTCTCAATGACGGGCCAATCTTTTGCCAAGGCTCAGGCTAACAGGGCTGTTGGCAGTGGCAGAGACGACTGTTTCGCAGAGTGATCCATGTTCTTGTCGTCAAGTTGTCTCGAACTTTTTTCGCCAGCTCAGACCCGCTTTTCCCGCCCAGCCGCTCCTCGTCTCCGTCGAATGGGCACGCACTTGAATGAAGACGCTAAGCCTCTTTCGTCTCAGGCTTCCGGCCTCGCTGCTGGCACGTCAAAACAAAAATCTGGGGTAGGTCATACAGTGAAGATCCCTGCTTTTGCAACCCCCCTCTTTTGCAAAATCCCCCCTTTTCCAAAAGATTTCGACTGCCCGCATTCCCTCTGGTGGTAATTCCTGCAACCTGCAATTTGCAACGCTGACGGCCCGAATTTGCAAAAGCAGGGGTCGAAGTTGGTGGGGCGGGCACTCTTATACCCGTATACCGGGGGTCCGCCCGCTTCAAAAGACCCACTTTTAGTACCGCTGACTATTGATAAGTGGTTAGAAGGCCCTTGCCTGGTCTGTGCTCTTGTGCTCCCTTTTGCAAAACCCCCCCTTTTGCAAAAAATTTGGGCTGCCCGCATTAGTTGCAAAAGCAGGGGTTCTTACTGTACATAAGGCAAGATAGTATCACAGTGTACGTGATTATTGGGTGTGTTGAGTATTTATAGGTCGCAGTTCACAGAGGCACTCAGGGTCTTGTTCATTCATAATTTCAATTATCAACTCGCAATGCACCCGTGTATCTTTTCCGTACCCCTTAACGCCCCAAGCACACTCACTTTTCTAGATAAACGAAGGACGGAGTCTGGCAGGTCCCAACCCCCTCCTGATCTCGTCCAGCTGCTCAAGGCCACTCTGGTACTTGCCCTTCTTCACCCTCTTCTTTCCGGCTGTCGAATGGTTCTCCAGGAACTCATCCAACATACCATCAAAATCGGCCCTCACGTTGCCCTGAACGGTAGAGACAGCAGAAACACCCGAGACGGAACCCAAGTCGTCCATGTCAGCATTGTACTCCTCCTCCAGCTTCTCAAACCGCGCATCGAGGATGCTCAAGGCGTCCGTCCGTACAAGCGCCGAGGAGCTCATCGAGTACATGGACGGGTTAGTCATGGCACCGGCTCTCTTCTTCTTGCGTCCACCCATTGTTGTCGTTGTCCATATCGAGGACTGCATCTCGGATGGCGCTGCCGGGCCCTTGTTCTTCTTTTCCGCCTTCTTGTCTTGCTGGTACTGCTTGAACGCATCATACCAGTCATCCGATGGCCCTGATCCCTCTCCTTCTTGCCCAGCACCTGTGTTGACAAGCTCCGGTACTTCGTCGTCCCCATCATGCCTGTACTCCTTGCTAGCCTTCACTGTGTGGTCCGACTCCCAGCCGTCATCATCAAACTCGTCGTAAGCCTCCTCGAAGTCGTGCTCGTTGATCTCCTTTGCGTCCTTAGCCAGTTCCTGGAAAATGTCCTCCTCCTCGTTGTCCACATAGGCCTCGTCCTCCAAGGCCTCTAGTACTTCGCGTAGGCGAGGGTCCATGTCTGGCTGGAAACCCGCAATGGCGTCAGGAACATCCTGTTGTGCTTGGTAGGTGAGTCTCTGGAGGTTCTTGTTGGGGAGGATCTCCTCGTCGAGCAGATCCTGGGCGTTGTTCTGGAGGTTGAGTTGCTTCAGGGCGTCCTCGAGGGTCGCCTTGCCCTTGCCCTTGTTCTGGTTTGCGACCGGTTTGGCCTCGACGAAAACGGCCTCTCCAGCTCCCGTGCCCAGATCACGCAAATGCTGCATGTAATCGTACTCGGTATCGTCGAAGTAGACGCCATAGTTGGCGGCCTCACCCTCATTGTCACGGATGCTCATGGCATCGGAACCGAGTTCGGAGGCGAGGGCACTGAGCGTCGACGACTTGTGGGCATTTGGGCGCTGTGTAGGGTTCAGCACCATGGACGGCGCCGACTCGTCGTGGATAAGGGGATCATTTTGCGGACGATGCACCAGCGTGAAGTGCGTCGCCGTCTTCTTGTCACTAAACAAGGGAAGGCAAGTCAGCCACGAGGAAACAAGCGTGAGAGATTCTGGTTCAGTAGTAGGCTACTTACATCCACTTTCCCCTGGCCATCTTGACTGTGATACGGAGGACTTGTTCTGGCTATATGGATACGATGCTGCAAGATGACGGGTCGCAAAGCTTGAATGGTTCACAGCGTGATTCTAGGCCAAGTCCAGGGAGGTTATGGAAAGACGACAGAATCAGGTGACGGGAGTGCGTCGAATTGGAAAAGCAGAAGCACCTCGCGTCTGCGGACAAGTTAGGAACGACGGGAAGACTGCAATGCGTGGAAGACGACGGGATGTCCACAGCGGATGACCGATGGAAGGTAAAATTTTGGTGGGGCCAATCAAGGTTATCTTATCGGCTCAAGCGGGAAATGGACTCCTGGGCTGTTAACAGTACCTGCCTCTATAGTGTAGAAGTATACTGTGTGGTGCAGGGTAAGTAGCGATCAGCGGGTCAGAGTGCTGCCCCTGCCCTATCGTAGCGCGCAGTATCCCGCTCGTTACCGAATTGTAAGAATTTGCCCCTCCATCTCCAGTCCGCTGGGGAAATATCGAGGTTATCGCAGATTTATCAGCAGGAAGTCCAGGGTCACTTTTTACACTAGCAATCAGCGAGTCGAAGGGAATTGCTGGAAACACCCACGCAACCTCTTGCCTGTTTTGCCTTTGTTTTTTCGAGGCAGTTTTTGTCTCTAGAGTATTCGCTCATTTTATTGCGACAACTCGACAAAGATCAGTCGTCGCAAAGTGCCGTCGTTGAAATATACGGGCGTCGAAGGAGGATTCACATTATACGAAAACCACACCAAGTACCGCGACCAGCAAGACAACCGCCAACATGGTTCTCGCAAAGTCCAAGAAGTCGGTCGGACTCGGCAACACGTTGATGAACGATAGGTTCGGCAAGGGAAAGGGATCCGACCGGAAGCGCGTCTCAGCAGTCACTCGTATCGACCATGCGACCGGCAAGGAATACATCACGAACGACAAGCAGGATGCTGCCTGGGTCAAGATGCGCTCCATCACCGAGCAGGGCGCTCTCGACGAGTTCCTGGCCACGGCTGAGTTGGCCGGAACCGACTTCACCGCCGAGAAGATGAACAACGTCAAGATCATCCACACCGACCAGCGCAACCCTTACCTCCTCTCCGCTAAGGAGGAGCAGGCAGTGCTTGGAAAGCAAAGGGCGAACAAGAGCCGTCTTACGGTACCCAGGAGGCCGCAATGGGACTCTACAACCACTCGCGATGAGCTCGACCAGAGGGAGCGTGAGAGCTTCCTCGAGTGGCGCAGAGGGTTGGCGGAACTCCAGGAGACCCAGGATCTGTTGATGACACCTTTTGAGCGCAACCTGGAGGTGTGGAGGCAACTGTGGCGAGTCATCGAGCGGTCCGATGTGATTGTCCAGATTGTCGATGCCAGAAACCCTCTTATGTTCCGTTCCGAAGACTTGGAAGTCTACGTGAAAGATGTCGATCCCAAGAAGCACAACCTTCTCCTGATCAACAAGGCCGATCTGATGACATACAAGCAAAGGAAAATGTGGGCGAACTACCTCAAGGGCGAGGGTATCGACTACAGGTTCTTCTCGGCGCAATTGGCCAAGGAGATGATTGAGGCAGGTGGATATGCCGACAGTGATGAGGATTCTGAGGATGAGAGTGATGCTGGCGAGGGTCCTTCCACGAAGGAGGAGACCCCCAAGGCCGAGGAGAAGGCATCCGAGGAGAAGGAGGAGGCCAAGGAGGAGGAGATCACCGAGCAAAACGACCCTGACACGCACATCCTGCGAGTCGATGAGTTGGAGGACATTCTTCTGCAATATCAACCAGAGGGTCAAGGTAAGCTTCCCTTTTTTTTCGTACAGAACCACAACGACTCAGCCACTAACCGTATCCTTCCGCAGATCGCAAGCTCCAGGTCGGTCTCGTCGGCTACCCCAACGTCGGTAAATCCTCCACCATCAACGCTCTCATTGGCGCCAAGAAGGTGTCCGTCTCCTCCACTCCCGGCAAGACCAAGCATTTCCAGACCATCCACCTAAGCGACAACGTCTTGCTTTGCGATTGTCCCGGTCTCGTCTTCCCCAACTTTGCCAACACCAAGGCCGAGCTCGTCTGCAACGGTGTCCTCCCCATTGACCAGCTGCGCGAGTACACTGGCCCTGCCGCCCTCGTCGCCCGCCGTATCCCTCAACCCTTCCTCGAGGCCGTGTACGGTATCAAGATCAAGACCAGGCCGCTCGAGGAAGGCGGCACCGGTATCCCCACCGCCGACGAGCTTCTCGACGCCTATGCCCGTCACCGCGGTTACATGACGCAAGGTCTCGGTCAGCCCGACCAGTCTCGTGCGGTCCGTTACATCCTCAAGGACTACGTCAACGGCAAGCTCCTCTACTGCGAGCCGCCTCCGGGCAGCGGCGTCGACGGTCCCGAGTTCAACGCCGAGCTCTACGATATGGCCCATCTGCCCGAGAACCGTCGTGTGGCGATGTTGTCGGCGCTCGAGGGTGCCGACATTGACGACACCGCCACGCTCACCTCGGAGATGACGGCGCTGGCGCTCCCGCAGGGCCAAAAGTCCAAGAAGCTCGACAAGGCCTTCTTCAAGTCCGGCGGCAACGGCGGCCACATTCAGCAGGCTTTCCACCAAAAGTACTCGCAGCAGGGTCAGGCGCAGAACATGGTGAAGCACATGAGCGGTCGCAAGCTGAGGGCGCTGATTGCGGCGGAGCAGGGCGTCAATGTCAAGGAGGTGCAGATGGAGATGGGTGGTAAGAAGCACTTCAAGGGCGGTATGGGGTTGAAGGGCGGTAAGGGCAAGAGGAGAGCGGGGAGGAGTGGAAACAATGATGACGATGATTGAGTGTACCGTGCTCTTTCTTTCTATGTTATCATCTTTTTCTTGGTACGGGTCTGGGTTTAGGATCATGTATGGGATTCGGTTCTGTTTGATTTGAGGTTGAATACCAATTGTCGTTCTGGCAGTAAAAGTATATTCGTCTGTGAACTTATCCTGTATGGAATGGAATGTCACAGTCAAAGAATAAGGGCTCCATCCTCCGCCTGGATGGTAAATGTTCCCCACTGTCAAGCAATCAACTCATTCAGAAAAGGCGTTGTGGAATTCGGATAACTGAGTAGGCGTTGATGAAATCATTTGTGTGGTTGAAGGCATTAGCTATATCCAATTACTCCCATCCCAATTCGTATAGACGATCTAAGTGTGACTTGACAGATATGAAACCTTTCCTCCATCCGACCCAGTAAGTAATCTACAAACATAAGGACAAATGAATATCTAAATGGCCCTCCCTGTGTTCACCCTCCGCGACCTTTCTGTCGCTTTCGATATAGACAAGTAAGTCAATGGAAAAGAAAAGAAAGATAAGGGAAAAGGCCGATGGGCGAAGAAATGATACACACATATGCACGCACAAGTAAGATACTTTCCTCTTGTTTCTCTTGTCCCGACCACACCTTCCCACCAGCTCCCACCATCTTCTCTCTCTGTGACAACCAACCAACCTTTACATTAATAGTTGAAAACCATCAAACTGGGATTCAACACCAACGGTGTCAAAGCATGACTAATCAAATTGATCGCCAACGGCACAATGGCTGAGAAATCCTTAATTTCCCAGCCCTCGGGCGCCCAGTTGCCCAGGTAGATCATGCCGGCCGCGACCAAGATGACAAACACGTACATCCACTTGAATGTCTTGAGGATCTTGGGAATCTCCTGGAAGAAGTTCGAGTTTTCTTTTTCCTTGCTTGTGGCGCCCCACTGCATGTCGATGTGGAAAAGATGGGCGAGTAGAGCGGTAGTGACGTGGAAGGAGAGTCCGCCGAAGAAAATGGTCATCATGGGCGTCCACTTGAAGTTTTCGCACAAACTGGAAAGGAGGCCGCGGTCGCCGGTGCGGTAGCGGAGGGCGGCCAGGGCAATGTGGCCCATGACGTTGAACACGACCACCAGCGAAATGAAGACTTCCCAGGAGGACATGTACGCGTGGTCGAGGGTGTCGATGAACCAGCCCACGAGGAAGTAGTTGAGCAGCGTGAGCATGAGGGCCGAGGCGAGGGCAAAGTACGAACACATGTAAGCGAAGATGGAGATCTTGGACGAGTACATGATGTTGCTGCCCAAATAGGTGTAGAAAAGAGGGGTGAAGGGGCCCTTGAAGATCCATCGGTGGAAAGGGTGGAAGATCATTTCCGACACGCCGTAAGCGTATTTTTGCCATCGGGCGATCTCGTCGTAGATCGTCAAAGACACTCCCTCTTGGAATTGCGTGCCGTGGTAGGAGGCGATGCGCACGATGGAACCCTTGATTTGGAGACGTAAAGCGATGTCGAAGTCTTCGGACACATGCGATTCGGACCAGTAGGCCGTGTAGTCGTTGGGTTCGGGGACGCCGACGTCTTGAACGGCTTTTTCAAGAGAGTTAGTATGGTTGACTGGAGGAGAGAAAAAGAAATAAATAAAGAAAACGACGTACCTTGCCAACGGAGGAAAGCGTTGTGGCCGACAAAGGGAGCGACTTCACCTGATCCGATGGAAAACCGAATGGCTGTGTAGACGAGATTGGTGAAGAAGGTGATGCCGTTCTCGAAGTAATCCCACGAGACTTGCATCACGCCGGTGGAATGTTGGACGATGGCGACTTCAGGGGAGAGGAACAATTCGGCGGCGCCGTAGAGGAGACAGTCGACGGGCTGTAGCAAAAGCTCAATGTCAGTTACGTTTCAATCACAAAAGAAAAGCAAAGCTAGGATAAAATACTCACCACACGGGTGTCAGAGTCCACAATTAAGATGTACTCGCCCATCCTGATGTTACCAGCCGCCTGAGCAAGCGGGTTCTCCTCGAGGACTCTTGCAAGCGCAGCCTCGTACATCTCCTCTTCCTCCTGCTGGTCGATAAGGTCGGTACCTTCGGCAGCAAATTTGGCATCCACCATTTCCTGGAGGTACTTCTCGACCTTTTGGGAAATGTTGAGGGCAAAGTTCATATTGGAGGCCTTCTTGAACTTGCCCTTGCGGACGAAGCCGTCGTCACCGTGCTTGGGGCGGGCGACCCAACCGATATTGTTATCGTGGTAAAACTCGATACGCTTCTGGGCTTCCTCTTCGGAGACGACGCGGAGGCCGTCATCGTTGACAAAGATCGATGCGGAGCCTTGTTGCACGCAGTTAGCTTCGGTTTCACAACCTGCAGTTAAACGGGGATGGGGACGCGCGAGGAGACTACTCACCACCATGACTCTCATAAAACGAAATAGCCGCCTGCAAACTCCGCACAGTCGGGATAATAACGCTCTCCATACCCTCCTTATAAACCGGCATCTGAATCGTGATATGCGGCGCCGTGAACCCGTCCATGTACGCCCTTCTCAGACTCGGCTTGATGCACGAGTAGAACCTGGAGTTGGTATGCTGCCCGCCGATTGGACCAAAAATCTGGAAAAAGTTCGAAAAGATGACCTGGAAGAAGAACAGACTGACGCACAGCAAGAACGGCACGCAAACAATTAGCGCCAGACGCGTATACGTCCCGTCGATGACGCACTCAATCAGCAGCTTCTGAATGTAGGTGCCAAAGAGAAGGACGATGCCCAGGCACATGGCCATGCCGACGAAGAAGGCGCTGGTGCGCTGAACGGGCCGCTGGAGCGACTCCTTGGCGTCTACGGACTCATCCTTCTCCAGCTGTTCGGCGCTGTCGTTGGGGAGGGCGCCCATGTTGCCTGGCCCCGGGGTCGAAGGCTTGTCCACCTTGTAGATGGAGGTGTTGGTGGAGAGAATAGAGCCTGGTCGCGATGGGGCTTGCAGACGCCCGAAGGGCAGTTGGCCTGTTCCCCAAACCATGGCTAGTAGCTTCTCCTCGATCCGGGCCGCGGTGGGCACAATATGCAGCAAATCATCGTGCCACACGAGTAGGATGCCTTCTTGTCGGACCAAGCAGGCGTACTGAAACTTCTTGACGTTGGCGGGTACCATGCTGTTAAGCGAGTCGGCGATTTGGAGTTGAGAGCCGTCCATGAGCTTTAGTTCGCTTTGGTTTGGTCTGAGAGAGGCAAGGATGCCGTCGAGCATATCCGGCTTCATGGTGAAGGCGACGACTAGGTTGAGTCTTTGCACACAGGCAACAAGTGCCTGTGACAGTTCCTCTGGGTATGTGACATATCGTCCCCGGGACTTCTTGTATAGCACTCCGTATCTATTTGGTGTTTTCTTGTTTTTCTCGGAGGGTATCCAACCGGCCTTGTCTATCTGCTTACTGAGGTACTGGATCATCTGGTAGTGGAATAAGTTAGTGCCTGTATTCTTCCAACGTGAGTGTCCTTGGTGACTTACTATCTTGAACCGGAACTCATCGGCATATGCCACCGGCGCGGACACCCCTGTCTGGTCTGAAGCCACGGACAAAGCACTGCCTGTTGCGTTCTGATTGTAGAAAGACTCGGAGCCTTGGAGTCCCGGAGACGGGAGAGTATCGACACCACTGGTGGGTCCATGCTGGAAATTGGAACGTGGTGGTGAGTTGAGAGGCGAAGGGAAACCTGACGGTGTAGAAGAAGGAATTTTCAAAGGAGGTAGAGGTCGTAGTGAAGAGACGTCTGATGGCGTAGCAGAAGGATTCCTCGAAGGAGGTAGAGGTCGTGGTAGAGGGTGGTCTGATGGTGTAGCAGAAGGATTCCTCGAAGGAGGTAAGGGTCGAAGTAGAGGGTAGTCTGATGGTGTACCCGAAGGATTCCTCGAAGGAGGTAGAGGCCGTAGAGGGAAGTGCGAGCCTGCCATTATGATATCAGATCCTTGCCGAATCAGTGACGAGTGTCGACGATGATGCACTTGTGACTTGTTGACAACCGAGTGTTAGACCAGTAGTGGAATAAGCGTACAAGTCCAAAGAAGACTCTAGACCGAGATGATAATGATGATGGCTTCCTCGCACATGCCCAAAAGTAGGTGAGGTGTGAGTTGTAAGAGATTACTATAATCCTCCGTCCGCTATTATAGAGAGTGGAAGTGAAATGTCAGAGAATAGCAGCGCGAAGTGAGGATATATTGATGAGGGAGGGGCGATTTGGAAGCAAACGAAAGAAGAAAAGAGCAGTGGGTGGTTTCGCTCATGACGGCATCGGCATCGCCTTCTGTCAACGCACCGGCTGGTCTGGCTTAATAGCCGTGATGCCGGGCTGGCTGACTTTTTCCATGGTTGGGGGGTTTGCTAGGGGGCGATTTCCTATCATCTGGTATCAATGTCGCTTTACGATATCCCTTCCCTCTGCAATGGGAGACCGGGATCTGTTTTCTCGGCGTAGCAAAGCGAATATGGTAGCGATAAAGCAGTCCGGGCAGAGTTCCGTAGCAGCCCATAGGTAACTCTTCGGTAGCTGCCGGTCGAATCTCCATAGAAGCCGACCCAGTCCATCCCAGCCAATGAACCAGGGAGATCACATCTTTGGTGATGTATTTTCTGCACATGTTATGTGCGAGACTAGAGCCCAGATCCCAGCTATTAGGGTTCAGAGCATCGCCGATCGTTCGAATTCTCACTTTGCGGAACCGTTGTCAAATCGAATGTGGCAAAAGCTCCTTGCTTGCAGCTTCTTTTCCATCCCAAGGGATCGGATATGAGGTGCTGACAGGAAGGTTGTGCAAGTGTTCGTTTTTCTTTTGCTTTATCTCAAGCCATCCGCAATCCCCCACATGCTGCGCGGTTGTCATAGGTACGAAGCCGTCAACATGGTTGTCTCTTTGCTTCGGTAGCGCCTTACATTGTGACATGAGGATAAGGACATGGCCGTGTTGTTCGTTCCATTATTGCCAATATGTTGTAGGAACTGGGCTGGAAGCCGGCCTCGCGTGGTTCAAGCGACGATAACAGGAGCAAAAGAACGGGCTAGACAACAACTTGACAAGGGACCACGCATGGAAAACAAACGCCTCTCTTGTTCAAGCGTTTGTTCTTCTCAGCTACCGACGAATCCCGTATGCTATACCTGTTGTAGAAAGTTTGCTCAAGGGAGTTGAATATTTGCACAATTTCTGCCTCGAGGTGGTGGTGCTATTGGCCGAGATTGTTGCCGCGGTCCCGTCGTGATGATTGTAAATCATCAGGGGTAAAAAACGTGCTGAAGAGTGTTTGGAGCCGCCTCACATGAGCGAGTTACCGACTTGAACTCCCGATTGGGGTTGTGAGGGCATGTTTCTACCCGGCGTGGCCAGGGCAGTGAGTGCCCGCTGAGTAATCTTGTACCACTCAACAGATGAGTGACTCTGGGAGAGGAGGGAGGACGAGGGAGCATCCGGAACAGCGGGAGTATGGTGACATTCGCGCAGTTGGTACTGCTGTCAGAGTAGGTACTTTTGTGTTCTCATGGCGAATGTACCCCAGGTCCCCAGGGTCTTCCTGTCATCCTGAACGTCCCGTCACCTCTTTCATTCGCGAACCGACGAATAATAGTGGAGAGCCACGAGATGGCAAAAACCGGTCCCTGCAGGTCCGTGGTCTGCCCTAGTGGTGGATCTCACAGCGGATCTCCATCTGGGATGAACCAGTGAACACGTGTAGACGTAGTCCGCTTATCGAGCGCTGTTCTTGATGATGTAACTTTGTTCTTAAAGGTTTTTACATAGTTCTCAGGTACTGTAGTCCGAGAGGCCCTGTGAACTGCCTCGGCATCCAGACCCTCGACCCCTCCCCTCCCTTAAAAAAAAACAGGGGGGAGTGATACCTAACCGACCCGAGCGACTGGAAGCGGGAGGTCCAGCTTCGAAGATGCTGTTGGGGAAGTGCCGAGGATACTGAAGAACAAATACTATTCTTCTGGGACTAGCCATTTTTAGAAGCGTGAAGCTGCATGGTCGTGTTGCTTACAAACACCAGTGTTTGCATGTTTTCGCTATCGGAATCCGGCAAAGGCTTTCAGAGAATGTTGATATCTTGAACAGCCGCAAGAGCCGCTCGTATTGCAATTTAACCTTTCAGGCACACCTCTTCTCGTTCCTGCGTCAGGCCGTGTCGCCGTCGAAAGCGCTGTGTGGGTGACGGTTGTGTTGTGTTGTGTTGTGTTGTGGGTGCGGTTCGTGGCGATACACTACACGTGTGTGGAAGGGGTCACTGTCCCCACAGTAAGTACCGAGACATTCTCAAAGTGGGTCTTTTGGAACAAAGTACCGGTACGTCTCCCCAGATGTTGCTCTGGGACAAAACATGGCAGACTTCGTTAGCGAGCAAGTAGTGGAGCTACAGCGGGTTGTAGTGTATCTCGCACTAACACGATCTGGTCAGAACCTAAAGCCACATAAGGTTTCGCTTGGGAATCCCTGCTTCCCTTGTTAGCTGAAGATGCGCTGACGTTGAACGAAGCAACCCTCCTGGCCAGACTCCGGTGACAGGGGTTCTATCGTTACCCGATCAATTGTGCTATCACTCGCTGTTATCGATTCTTTTCTTTTTCTATATCGTCTGATGTCGTGAATGCCTTACAGTGTGCGGAAATTGCGACCTCAGCCTGCGAACAATCATTGTGAGTCTGGACCTTTTGCGTTTGTTTGGATCTCCAGATGCTCTCCCCTTCGTCACTCTCAGAAGTTTGGTGCCATGACGGGCGATGACGATGGTACCATTGAAGCGTCGCATTTGCCGCCGAGGATCATCACTGAATATGAGAAGAATGTTCACGTGGATGTGAACCTCATCTCACTCACCCGAGATCTTCGACCCTAGATGACGTGTTACACAAGAGTGACTGGTTGTGAGGGCGGCTGGCTGACAACTTCTTCCAGAGGGTCGAGCCGCAAGGGACGCGCTGAACCGCGTGGCGTCCATCCAGAACGTAAGCTGGGAGGAGAAAGCGCAGTGACAAAATAGGGGGAGCATCCGATCCGCGGCACCCATTTGACAGGGGGCGGACTTCTCATTTGCTGCAAATATCCTATGTGCTCGTGGCAATTCGCCCATTATGGGTGTGATGAAACGTTAACGCCGTGTGGGTTTTTGGTCTATGAGGGGGAGTGTCAGTCTGAAAACATTCCGGTTGCTAATAGCAGCGCTTACTGTCGACGTTGACTGCTCGAGGCATCTGCGGTTGTCAAGATTCAAAGTGATGACCAGTAGCGGTCGTGAAGAGCTGCTCTCGCTGCCATTCATGTGGTTAACTGAAAAGGGGGTTGTTTTGATCAGATACAACGTAGAGAACTTGAAAGAATGATAAGAAAGGAAGAGGGATAGTCGAATTGACCGAGTTCATTGGTGTTTATATCCAACTCATCACATCGCCGTGGTCCCGAGTGTCACAAAAACAACAATCGTCTAGTTTGTTGAGCAAGCCATCTCGATGCCCTGTTCCTTTTGGACAGAAGCGGCAGGCACGGGACGGGCAGATGAGACAAGAGACAGGTTCTTGCCTGCTTTGCAAAGGGAAGCTTCGGCAGTTGGTCGGTGTTGAGTTGGGTCGCGCTCCTGCCTAGAGCGTTTGTTACCAGGCGCCTTCACTCAAGTTGGGATGAATTCCCAGCAAAAGGACAAAAAGGGCAAAAAAGTCGGGTTAAGCACACAAGTTGCAGACCGTCATGGGATCGAAACCACACTCTCTCTGATAGCCGGCGATGGACTGACCGCTATACCAACTACCTCCTGAGATGGACGTTACTGCTAGACCCCTCCCAGCCCCGACGGTAAAAGGTGCTCCAAAGGTAATCTATATAGGGCATACATAGAATGTTTAGCGACTGGTAAGCCACCTATCGATGCACATTTCGTCCGCTGCTCCTGGTGGTTTGTGTAGGTGTGCTTGACGCAATATTTGTAATACATCGATGCGTACAAAATGTGCAGAACTCGCAGAGACTAGACTACAAAATCCACAAACTCCAACCATACATTTGACCTTGATCCTGTTTCCACCCCATCACACGCATCGCACATTAATCCAGTTAATAGAGTTGTACAAACAGTCTAGGATGTAGTAGGAAAAAAAAAAAAAAAAAAAAAAAAAAAAGAAAACGTTCATGTCCTCTCTCTAGCAAGCACCCTGCTTCCACATCTTGACCGACTTCACCGTCATACCACGCTGATCACCCTCTCCCCAAGTCGGCAGCCACTGGTCGGCAGCCGACCAGAACGTCCACTGAGCGTTGGTGGCCGAGTCGAGCCAAGGCTTGTTTCCCTTGTTGTCACTGTTCCATCGTCCATCTTGTTAGCAACTTTTGTTTCTTCACGTTTACCAAATTGACTTGAAAGAAAAGGGCCAACTTACGGAAACCACCCTATCTTACTCCCCACCGCCACATTCAAGATCAAGTAAAACGGCTGATCAAAAGGCGCGTTTCCCGTCGTGGAATCACTCCCCGCCCACGGATTTTCAAAGAGGGTATCGTTCTCCCTCATCTCCGCAAACTCACCCATTTTCCAGAGGTCGTCCTTGGCTTTGAACCCGACATGCATGATCTGCGTAAGCCGGTTATCCAGGTAAAAGTACATGTACTTCGCGTCCCACTCAAGGCCGAACGTGTGGAAGCTCTCGGAGAAATCGCTGCGCTTGAGACGCTTGGCCGATGTGGTCCGCCAGTAGGCATCTGTCGCGCTTGAAGGACCCCAGTGGAGGGAGCCGTAGTATAGGTTCCGTCCGCCGGGTGCGTAGTCGTGTCCATTGCCGCGGGATTCCATGATGTCGATCTCGCCGGAGCGGGGCCAGACGCCGTAAGTGGAGTCTTGAGGCATCATCCCTTGAGTTTGCTATTAGTACGATACGGGGAATGATAGGGGAAAAGTTAGGCTTACAGATGGCGGGCCACAACCAGTCTCCCTTGGGAAGCTTGGCGACAACTTCGACACGACCGTACCGGAGTGTCTTGGTGTCCTTGGTGACTAGGCGAGCGGACCGGACGGGTGGGATCATGGCACCCGTCTTTGGGTCGGAATGAGCGACGCAAGAGGCATTGGTTGTGCCCGTGCAAGACTTGTCTTTCCTCAAATCGAGCGTGTAGTTGGCATAGAGCTGGTCGGCAGTGATGTCCGTTGTCTCAGTCGTGAGAGTCGGGACAATGTGAAGTCCTTCTTCGTCGACGTACGAGTTCTTGGTATCGGTGGTGGTCCAGTCGAAGGACCCTGTTCCGAAGCCATCGAGCTGCGAAGGAAGAAGTTAGGATAATGACTTTGCAAAGTACGTGATATATTGACATACCGTCACCTGGTGCGACCAGACACTCGTATCCAGCGTCTTGAAGTCATCCTCGAACACCAGACATAACGGCCCAGTCTGGTATTGCCTGACGCCCGTGTAGCAAAGAACAGCGGCACCCGCAAACCCGACCAGACACCAGGCAGTCACGATCCAATTGTTCCACCTGGTCTTCTTCATGGCCGGGTCGGCGAGCCATGGCTTCTCGTACTCTCCTCGGAGCCGGTAGCTCTTGAACTTTCTCTTGGCCGCCCTCGGTAGTGTTGCTGCCGACTGCCTCGAGGAAGTATATATCGAGCCTGGCCGACTTGAATCCCACCCGGCGGTGGCACTGTTGACATCTAGTCCTCCTTCGCCGGTGCTGTGTGTCTCCCGGCTGCCGTATGAGGATATTATTTTTGCGGTGAGGTCGTTGGACATTTTGAATGTGGTTTCGACAGCCCTCAAATGAACAAGAGTATAAAGTAGAGAGTCAAAAGAACACTGTGATGTATTGAGGATGGAACCTCAAGTCCGAGGGAGAAAAGGATGGGGGACAACGATCAAGTTTTACTTGTAACCGTTGAAGGGCGAATTTTCTTCTAGATATTCCACGAAGAATGCTGTAAAGATGATGATACCGCGGGATGTGTTGACTGTTGTTGCTTCTCTTCTCTATCACAGAACAGCCCCAGCCATAACAATGATAACGGCTGATGGGATGTCTCTAGGCACAACATCGCCTTCTCATGGAAAATCAGAAAAGTTCACCCGAAGCAAAGGCGTTGGTTTGACAAGCTGAGTAAGCCCCCGTGCCCCAGTGTCCTGGGTCTCTTTCCGAACAAAATGCACCGCGTTACTGTCTAGGATCGGGTTCGAGCCAAACATTGTCTGTTCCGAAATCTCAGCCAGGCCGCCCACCATGGAAGAATGATTATCGGCCCAGCCAGCCTGGACAAAATTCGCCCGTGGTTGATGATCAATCCATCGAGTCGGAAAATTCCATAAGCTGCGTGCCGTTCGTGGGTGACAGCGACACAGTAGGCCGATCATGATGGATGCCGTCTTACTATTGGTTCAAGTGATTGGACCACACGACCGGGGGATGCGCTACGTTACGGGACACTATCACTTACACTAATTACTAGCAAGCAACACCGCAGTTGGTAACTTTGCTCCGTCCATTTTCTGCTGTCTTCCGTACGGTAGGTGATCCACGGCGTGTGAATGGTCCAGACGGAATGGGCATATGTAGACGATGCCAAGATAATTGAGTTGTTGCATCAGAGTTGCGAACAAACAAAACGTTGGGACGTACCTAACGGGTGCTCCGGCTGTGTGTGGATCTTGTGGCGTCGATGAAAAAAGCTGAAGCATTAGCGTACTAGTACCTACACGTCAAGGTACATTGTCAACCACGACTGGACACAAGGTCGATCCGTACCGATACACTGAACACTCAACTCTCTGCAAGCCACAGTTGGGGATGAAGGTGGGGAGTGGCCTTATTTTCTTTTCTCTTCCAATCACGCGCCTGCGAATGAAGTAGTTTGATCGTTTTTCTGTTAATCTTGGGTAGCAGCGATCGATTGAGTTTATGCAGGTACATTGGAAGCTACTTCACCTCTTGTTACCTCTAGTCACCACCTTCCCTTTTTCGATCACTCACCCATTTGACAACAGATCGTGCCTTCTACGTCTACTTGACATTGGCGTTTTAAATTTGTAGAATAACCCGAGGAATTGACAAATGGAAGGCGGTCGGTCAAGGGTACCTTCCTTTACCACTTCTATTGTAACAATAAACGGTTGGCTCTTTCCACTCTCTAGTGACCATTCTTCTCACAACGACCAACAGTAATAAACTGACACTATCGTTTTGTGAAGTGGTCCATTCACATTTCATTCACACAGTACACCAGCAAATATTGAGTTGTCCCCTCAGTTCATTCACATTTGCGGTGGCTTGACATCGACATCCGGATCTTCAACTGGGATTGGATCCCATACGAGCCTCTTTCCTCTATCCGCCTAGCAGGGCCACAATGGCAATGCCGCCATGGCTAATATTTTCTAGTAATAAGATGACGGTGCGAAACCAAAATGCCACAGCCTTTAGGGAAGTACGTCTCTGCCTTTTCTGCGTAAATCTGGACTCTAGGGTCTCTCAAGATTCAAGAAACCTATTAGCCTCACAACATTGTGTTGGAGTGGGAAAGAAACTTTTGAAGCAAACATGTCTATCTCCATCTCTCTGCAGCTCTCTCGCCTTTATTCCATTTTCCATAAACCCGGACCCAAACTGGACTCCGAGGAAGCGGAAAATATCGGAGACCTGCATGAGTGGAACGTTTAACTGGAAGTGTCCGACCCAAAATAGCAGTGGGCGAGGGCTGAAGGGCTAAGCAGCTATCTACTTAGCTCACCACGCGAGGAAGAACACTTCCGTTTTCATTGGGAGTCCTCTCTCTAGCCCTCTTCTTTGGAGTATCACCCATCACCCATGACAGATAAACATGAACATGGACATATGACATGATAGATGGCAGTTGAGGCTGGCTGACGGACACATCGTCTTCTTGACAACCCATGGGAAACCGCACCATCTCCATCCTCCTTTCCACGATCATGCTTGTCCAAGGCGGTAAGGGAGAAGAGTGTCCGGTGTCCAGAACACAGAATCAACGCTAAGCCTCGCGACATCTGACAGCTCAAGCCCACCACGTTTCTGGCCGCCTACCCCGACATCTACAGTCATCTACTGTGTGGACTGTAAACTACCTTGAGCTGCAAAGGGCTGCAAAAGTTCCGCTTTCGGGCATCTTCTCCCAGGCTCAGACTGTCTTTAGCTCGCTACTAGCTCGTATAGTGGGCGCCTCCTTCACGGACAGCTATCTCCTTTCAGTTGGGCACATCATGTTGTTGCTCATATTTTGTGGAACTATACAGTTTAGTTGTGATGCTTCTGCTTTTCCAATGCATGCATCGTGAGGGGGTTGTATGTGGCTGGTCATTTCCACAAAGCCGGCCCAGCCCACTGAGCGCCAACAAGCACGGAGCCCTTTTCCGGACTAGACGACGGTCACCTTCTCAACCTTGGTCAGTTATTCTCGTTTCTTTCTTTCCTTTCTTTCCTTACCCTTGGAAAACACTGCCGAACCGATCAGTCGATGGATGGCAGTAAGCCACTTGAGGCTCCGAATTGGTCGGGTCGGTCGAGACCTCCGTATTCGCACCACCGGGCGGGCTCACTTACACCACTCAGTCACTCAGTCTCACTCAACCGCGTCTGATGGCGTTTGGATGGCTTGCGGGCAGCTCTCTCTGAATCCAGTCATCGTGATCAATCTTTGTGAACATCGAGTTCCCTCCTCGTCTCTATAGCCTTCTCAGACTATAAGATCTTCCATCTTTCCCAACCTTCCCTCTCGAAAGTTAAAAAGCAATCCACTCAAGCCTTCAAGCAGCCTCATCACAAACCATCAAGGCATCTATCCTTCTTGAGCACACATCTTTCCTCCTTCTCCGACAACTCACTTGGCTGTTTTTCAAAATGGTTCGCAAGAACATCATCATTTCTTCCCTCTTCCTGGGCCTCGTCTCAGCCTCGCCGCTCCACCTGAAGCGCCAGGACCTGCCCATCGACAGCTATGACGAGTCCGTGGCTGCCGGTGCTGACTCCACCGACACCCCCCCTGTTGGCGACGCCGTTCCTCAGAACGTCGAGACCTTCGACTCCAACACCGTGGCCGCGGAAGTTGTGGCTACGGTCGTCGACACTCCCCCCGCTGTGGCTCAAGCCTCCAACGACACTCCTCCCGATGTCATCGCCGTCAACCTCTTGAAGCGCAGCGACATGAACGTCGCTCGCGCCGACGGCCCGGCCACCTCGTGTATTGTGCGCACCTTCAATGGTCCGCAGGTGTCTGATCCCGACACTCCTGGGGCCTTCACCAGCTATCCGGCTTTCTCTACCGCTGCCATTGACTCTGTCAAGGCGGCCAACGTCCCGTCCGGCTACGCGGCCGTGCCTAACTTTGTCAACCTCAATGCGGTGGCCCAGGACAAGTCCTACATTACCTACACCAGCTCCAAGCTGACCTCGTACGACCCCAAGAAGTGCGCCGCCATCTGCGACGCCACTGCCGGCTGCACCTCGTTCAACATCTACTACGAGCGAGTGCCGCTTGAGATCAGCAAGGCCACCCAGGTGCCCGATGCCGCGCTGGGCTGCCCTGGCAATGCCGACGCCGCCTCGGCCACTCTGATCAAGTGCGCCTTCTACGGCATGCCGCTCGTCGCCACCTCGGCCAAGTCGGTCTACCAGTACCAGGGCAAGGCCTTCAAGGTAGTCTACGCCGGCTCCACGGCCTTCACCAAGTCCAGCGGCCCCACGGTCGACGGCTTGCAGGGCCCCGTCACCTTTGGCGACGCCGCCATCAACGCGCCCGCGCCCGTCATCGACCACGGCTACCTCCGCACGCAGACCTTTGGCACCAACGTCCCCTTTGCCCCGGAACTCTGCGCCGCCAGCTGCAAGGCCCAGACCGAGTACAACGCGAAGCACGGCACCAACAAGGGCCAGGCCTGCATCTTCTTCAACGCCTTTGTCATTTACAAGAACGGCAAGGACGGCGTCTTCACTTGCAACTACTATGGTACCCCCTATGGTGTCAGCTACGCCAAGAACAGGGGCCAGTGGGATGACTCTGGCAACCATTGGACTATCTCCAACAGCTTTGGCTACTACGTTCCTGGCAACTATGTTGCCAAGTAAGGAAAGGGGGTGGGTGCGCGGTCATCCAAGACCGTGACCATGACCACTTGCTTTTCGTGCTTTGAAGGGTTGCGAGGATGAAGAAAACGGCTGGGAAAAAAACAAATGAGTAAAACGAATGAGTAGTACTTGCTTGGATTCTTTGGCTCTCCCCGTCTTTTATAACCATTTGTGCTTGGCTGTGCGAACAGTTAACACTTTTGTGGTTTGCTTTTTGTGCTTTAGTGCTTTAATAGTTAGTTCTAATACATAACAGTTGTTTGGGTACATAAATTGTTGTGTCGTCAAGGTTAACTTTGCTTGTAATGCCATTGTCGTTGTCATTGATCGCCGCGCTTGAATGCCTATTTGGGAGTTGTGAGTAGACTGATGACGGTGTTTCAAGGCGAATGGTTTTGACTTGGAGGTGTTGTTCCTGAGTGTCGACAGATAGCATGACACCAAGGTGCCATTTCCCTGAAGCCATCTGATTTGGAACATAAACGACCAGATCTTTGCCGATAATGTTTACATCATTGCTCCCTATAGTCTTCGGTTTCGTGTAGTCTGCCATGATGTCTTTTGCTGTGGGCAAGAGGCAAAAGGTGAAGTTATGTTGATGTCTGCTCGGGAGGATCCGTGATCGTCATTGCAATTACCCAAGACGTGAGCATCTACCGATCTTTGGGCGCATGCCATTTCCCCAGTAGATCGATCAACGTGACGGATTGTTCCGACATGGAATAGTATTGCCAAAATGGGCTTCTTCTGCGACTTCCTCGTGGCAAAGCAATCTGCATAACGTGCAAGTCAGAAATGAGGAAATACAACCAATTATAATCGTTATCGTTCATTTTCCACCATTGTAAAATCACGATAACGGTCAATCTCCCCATTGACACTTTGGAAATAATCATCACAGCGGTTGGGATAATGGATTGGTAATCCACTCATGGCCACTTGGTCATTTTTGAGCACTATCAGAGGCAATTGAGAATCGTAGTCATCCGTCTCAAAACACTCGGAAATGAGCAATGATACAGAAAAGAAAAGAGAGCAATAGCTCGTTGACGGATTGGAAAGAGGGCAGCGGCAGAGTCGCGAATGGCTGTGATGATGCAGCAAGTGGGTGTGGACAGAGGGGAAAACTAATACAGGAACGAACACTCTACGGTGGCCCAAGTGCGCGTTAGGCCGTTTATCCAAAAGTTCAAAAACAAAAAGTCAGTGCCGGCTGCAGGCGTTAGGCTCGCACCCAGAGGGTGGTATCCAAATCCTAGTAATAAGATAACCTTAATAAGCCGTCTCCCGCAATATTACTTCAACTCCTATTAACTCCTATTAACTCCTATTAATTCTCATTAACTCCTATTAACTCCTATTAATTCTTATTAATTCTTATTAACTCCCATTACTTTATTACTTTATTACTTTATTACTTTATTACTTTATTACTTTATTACTTTATTACTTTATTACTTTATTACTTTATTACTTCATCACTTTATTACTTCATCACTTTATTATTTTATTATTTTATTACTTTATTACTTTATTACTTCCTTACTTTATTATTTTATTATTTTATTACTTTATTACTTTATTACTTCCTTACTTTATTACTTTCGTACAAGAGGTTTATTAATTTTTAGTAGTAATTAGTATAAATAGACCTTACTAGCCCTTATTTATATTTAATTCTTCTCTAAATTTTTAAATTAGGATAAAGTAATAATATAAATAAATCCTATTTTCTATCTCCCCCCCCTCCCCTTTCCTTCATCCTCCTAAGAGAAACTTTAGTACTTAGAACCCCCCTAGTAAAGTAATAATACAAATAGATCCTTCTACCCTTTAGAGAAAAAAAAAGATAAAAAAAAAAAAGAAGAAGGAAAAAAGGGAGGAGAATAGGGGGGGGGGGGGGGGAAGAAGAAAAAACTAAGGAAGGTTGAGGTGAAAGTTCAAAGTTTGGGCGTAAGCGCTGTACGGTAGAGGCGTTGATATAAAATAACCGGCAGTTAGCTGCAATTGGAAGCTCGGACCAATTTATAAACGGCCTAACGCGCACTTGGGCCACCGTAACACTCTCTCAATCTCTTCCTCCGTCTGCTCACTGGACGAGCAGCGCCTTTGCTCTCTCGTACTACTGACGCCTCACGCCGTACGCCCACAGACTTCACGATGACTTGCGCAATGCGAGGGTAAAGAAAATAGTAGTTTTGACCAGACTGGCTCAACTGGGAGTCGTTAAGCGAATGCGTATGCAAAAGGTCACACCTCCGAAGTCTTTGTGACCGCTTTTTGCTTTTGTCAGTTTTCTATAACGGGTTTTCGCAGTGTCGGCCGTCGGCGGTCGGGGACACGGGCTGGACATTGGAAGGAAAAGAAGCCAAAAGAGAATCCGATGGTTGAAATGCTGCAAGGGGAAATGATGCCAGAGACGCCACGCGCCACGACCCGTCAAACAGACAGACGGTTCAGTGATGTTTGTGTGACTGGTACGTTGAGGCTGAGAGGAACGAGAATAGGCGGGACAACACTGCCCGATTTTGGTTTGTGTTTCGTTCGTTAGATTGCTTGCCGTTAGGTTGGCTGGAGGTGGTGGGTGGTGAGAGGTGCAGTGGTGACGGGAGTTGGTGGTGACTTTGTTGTGGAAAGCGAGAAGTCGCGATACAAGACAAGGATCAAGGAAAGCAGGGGGGGAAGACAACTGGGGTGTTGCGACGAAGCACAAAGTACCGGTACTTTTCACAGGTACCGATGCTTAGTGTACTTACCCCTGCTACATATCTTCTGGGGTTTTGACAGGGCAGGCAGCCCCGAACCAGGCTAGCCTAAACCGGGGTGCATTGAGGGTCTTGCCTCCACATTCAACCTCGCTGGTCTTGGCAGTCACGTCTCGCTTTCTGCTTTGGGAGGAAGTGAGAGCTACTCCTCCCTTGTTGAGACGGATTCCTTCCATCTTCGCTTAGATCTTCGACAGGCAGTTACTATGGTACCAGACCAGACTGCCAGACGACCAGTCAACCTCCGTGTGTTCAATGAGACTTGTCACGTCAACAGGTCAACCTCGGTACACCATCTTCAACAGAAACACGCGCTCGGCTTTTTCGCACACTCACACGGAACAACCCCCCTCCACCCGGTCCCATCATGGTTTGTTTAGGGATTCTCAACCGAGGTGCGAGGTATTTCGATGCCTGGTCTCTGGTCATCTTCAGTCATCACATCCCGCTGGGTTGAGCCCATGAAAAGATCAGGATCCAAAAGTTGGCAGAAGACCCTTCAGCTGAGCCCCAGCCCGAGGGAGGTCTAGCAAGATGCCATAACAAGAACCCAATTTGCCTTTCCGTCGATAGTTTGGGGGACGAGCAAACGCCGAGTTGGCCACAGTCATGAGTGTTTGCTGGTTGACACCGACTGACATGTTGATGTGGCTGTCACCCCGGGAAACCCTTCAAGCACACCGCAGGCACACCTCGACTTGTGGTAATGACGGTTCAAGCTGCGCTCCCAAGACAGTCCAAGACTTCAAGCCACGTCCCGCCATCCCCTTCCTTTGGCTGGCTGAGAGACAAAAGACCTACTTAGACTGCTAAAGACAGCCTGAAGAGTTGTATTGGCCAGCTGCCAAGGCCGAAAAGACTGTCAGGCTGACCTTCAATGGGCCGATCAATGCCCTAGACCGGCGTCGAGACCATTTCGAGACCCGTTGGAATGGAATCGGCGCAAGCCCCATTCGGTAGCGCCCGTCTGGTCTTAGATCACGTTGGATCACAGAGATCTCTGGGTAGCTTCTCCATCTCACATAGAGACACAGCTATATGCGATTGTCTCCCATCCCTTTTTACCCGAGATCTCACTCATCCATCCACTTCTTTGTCGATAGCCCAATTCGCACCGTCATCTTGACGACCTCGGGGTCTTGTCTCGCAAGAGCCGATTCCGGTTGATCTAGTGCCTCGGACACCTGGACATCACTTCGTCATTCCCCCTATGTGGTAGTCACTCGTTATTAATTTATATACACTTTTCTTCGGGATAACCTTGTGGATATACCCTTCACCTACAGTCTTTACTCATATCCTCATGACTTATTCGACACACTCACTGTAATATCCTTTCGCCAAAATGAGGCCCCTAGGTCTCTTACGCTCTTTTGCGAGCCTTGCGCTCTGCACGGCAACATGGGCAATGGACCCGACAGATACCATTATGGATGCCGGTGAGTCAAACTCTATGTGCCTTGAATGTCTTATGAATCGGGATTGCTAACAGATCAACTTTGGCAAGACTCGGCTGCTGTCGGCTACCTCCCAACCCACAACATGGATCCAGCAACCATTGAGGGAGGCGCATTTGGCCAGATTTGGTCCTTCACGACACCAAAGAATCCTCTCAACCAGATCGAGCAGTTCTACTCTAAACTTCTAGTCTACACACCAAAGGCCACGGGAAAGCAAACCGTCATTGCCTTTTCAGAGCAAAACCGCATCTACCTTCTCGATGCGGTGAACGGCACACTCTACAATAGCCGTGATCTGAGCGAGCAGGATCCCGCAGAAGCCCCGTTCATGGTGTCCGACTTGGGCAACTGCAACGACATTAGCGGAACAATCGGTATCACTGGTACGCCCATCATTGACCCCAACACAGAAACCATCTACTTCTGGGCCAAGGGCTACAGGGACGCAACCACGAAAGGCTGGAAGAACGGTGCATACCGTTTCCATGCCATTGATGCATGGACCTTGCAAGAGAGACCCGGCTTTCCAACCAACATTGAAGGCAAGTATGCCGATAACGACAAAACCCGCTACTTCAACGGTGGCAGTGTCCTTCAGCGCACATCCCTGAACCTTATCAATGGCGTGGTTTACGCTGGCTTTGGTGGCCACTGCGATCTGTTCAACTACACCGGCTGGGTAGTTGGCATGAGAGCTTCCAGTGGTGAGTTCGTCACAGCTTATGCCGCTGCTGGTGGTGATCGTGCCCCCAAGCAAGATGGCACCTGGGAAGGAGGTGGTGGTGGCTGCGGAATCTGGCAAAGCGGTGCCATTCTGGCCTCGGACAACCCGAGTCGTCTCTTCTTCGCTACTGGAAACGGCTACGGAGTCATGGCGAACCAACAGCTAGCCGCCGGCGGTAGAACCCACCTCGACACACTCTCCGAAGCCATCGTCAATATGGCCATCGATCCCGTCACTGGAAAGGTCACGCAACAAGACTATTTCGAGCCATATACTTACCAAGCTATCGACTCTGCTGATCGTGATTTGGGTGGTGGCGGCGTTTCCATCCTGCCATTTGGCGGCGGTGGTGTCAAGCAGCTTGCGGTAACAGCAGGCAAGAACGGCCAGGCCTACATCTGCAACGCTGATAACCTAGGAGGCTACAAGATGGGCACTGGCGGTGGTGACAACATCATCCAGACTATCACTCCTCCTCAGGGTACAGCCATGTTTGGAAACGTTGGCGCATATCCGCTTGAGGGTGGCTACATGTACATCACGCCAGTCGGTGCCCCGACTTATGCCTACGCTCTTGGTTACGACTCAAGCGGAAGGCCGGCCTTCAGTGTAGCCGGTTCGACCCCTGACAAGTCGGCTGGAAGAGTTGGTACCGGATCCGCAACCATCACCACCCTCAACGGCCAACCGGGAACAGGCATTCTCTGGATGAGTGATCCTGACAACGGAATTCGCGCCTACCATGCGGTGCCACGGAATGGGCAGCTCGTAAAGATTCCCCTTCCCGCTACTCCAGTCTTGTCCAAATTCCAACGTCCAGTTTTTGGTGATGGCCGGTACTACACCAGCACATACACCGGACAGATTCTGGCTTTCGGGTCCCCTGTCAAGTTGCCTTTTGACTGCGGTGGTCCTTTCAACCTCGGAGAGGTCCCCATCGGAACATCCAAGACGATCAACGTCACTTGCACTGCCAAGATCACTGTCAACCAGATCACCAACATCACAACTGGCAACCCCCTTTACAAGGTATCCTTAGCCGACCTCCCCAAAACCGCGGTTACTGCTGGCAAATCCTTCACCTTCCCTATCAAGTTCGATTTGGGTGGGTACACGTTGGACCCTGGCAGCACAAGCTCCCCGACCATGCAACCTGGTGTGCAATCCGGCTCTGTCACCCTCACCACAGTCAATGCTGTTACGGGTTATTCGACTACACAGCCCCTTTCTGTGACCGGCAACACAGTGACAGACGGACCATTTGCGGCCATCAACCCCAATGCAGTTGATTTTCAACCACTTGTCATTGGCTCTGCCTCTGCGGAAGGAGGATCGCAAAACACTGTGGTCATACAGAACTTGGGTAAAGGACCCATGAGAATCCTCGGCTATGCTTTCACCACCGATAGCCCTAACTCGGCAGCTGCCACATTTACGAACGTCACCATCGATGGCACTCGCTCTAAGCTTGATGCCGACGGTTTCTTCATTGCTGAGGATCTGCCTGTGATCGGTTCTACTGTCGCTGCTGGATCATCTGTGATCATTCACATGACGTTCCTTGCACCCAAGCTGGGTTCCTTCGCTACTACATTCACTGTCTTCACTGACGGTGGCATGGCCTACTCTGTCTTGACCGGATCTGCCAACTCGCAGCCCATTGCTCTCCTCGAACATTCCACCAGCGAAGGCGGCTGGGTGACGATTCCTTTCTGCAATGATCCTACTCAAACTTGCACCTTCAATATCGACATGGGCACTTCACCTGGCTTGACCACCACTGAAGTGACCATTCGGTTCACGAACAAGGGCGGTTCTGATCTGATGATTGACAAATCGAAGCCCCCAATGGGCTCTGTCCTTGGTGCCCAAAATCCAAGCAGTGATCTCTTTGAAGGCATGGTGATCAAGCCTGGAAAATCCGAGAGTGCTACTCTCTTCTTCACACCTGGCGCTGCCCCTCTCAATGCGGATCCCATTGTTTACGCCGGCGCCTGGACACTGAACGTTAACGATCTCGCTTTCGGCGTGCATGTTGTCAATTTCATTGGCACCCTACGTGCCACCAAAGTTGGCCCGACACTGCCGGATGGATCAGCCCGCTTCAAGTACCTTGGTTGCTACAGGGACAGCAGCGCCAACCGTCTTGAGACCACCCAGGCGCAGTTCCCTGCGGATAACGACAACGGAAAGTGCCAGCAGTATGCCATCACCAACAAGGCTGCCTTTGCCGGCACCCAGTATACCTATGAATGCTGGGTCGGCCGGAGCATTCCACCTGCAAGCTTGAAAGTTGACGACTATCTCTGCAACACTTACATCTGCCCCGGTGACAAGTCGCAGTTCTGCGGTGGTGTGGGAAGCTACATGATGATGTGGTATGACACCACCGGCTACTTCCCCGAGAACGGTACCCTCGCTCCTGCTTTCAGGCCCCCTGCAAGCAAGACAGTTGTTGGTGACTGGGAGTATGCTGGTTGCCGTACCGACAACTCGGCATCCCCTGCGACCAGAGCCCTGAATGACCGGATTGTCGGACAGTCCAGCACCAACACTATTGAGAGCTGCGCCCAAGCCTGTGCTGGCTTCTCCTTCTTCGGTGTTGAGTGGGGTGTAGAGTGCTACTGCGGTAACAATCTCAACTCTGGTAGTACCGTTGCTGATGAAAAGACCTGCAACTACGTCTGTGGCGGCGATCCGACTGAGCTATGCGGTGGTTCAGGCCGTATCTCGGTTTACAAGCAAAAGGGTGCCGTCATTGGTAACCCATCAACCGGCGTGTCGTCTTCATCTGGGCCAGCATCTGGAACCGCTTCTGCCACTGCTTCTGCTTCTTCCACATCCTCGTCTGCAGTTGCTTCCGGCACTCCTGGAAACCCACAGTCTATCGGTCAATACGGTTCCTTGGGTTGCTACAGCGATGCTGTTGCCTCCCGCTCTCTCCAGGGCAAGAATACTCAGTCCAATGTCATGAGTCTTGATGACTGCGCTACGTACTGCGCTGGATACAAGTATTTTGGCACCGAGTACTCGGCTGAATGCTTCTGTGGCAACGACCTTCTCAACGGAGCTGCCCCGGTCACCGACGGCCGCTGCAACATGCTTTGCAATGGCAATCAACAACAAATCTGCGGTGGTAGCAATGGTCTCTCCATGTACCAGCTCAACCCTAACGGCACCTCCAGCTCAGTCACCGCTTCTGGCTCGGCCACTCAATCCGCCACGGCATCTGGCACCGTCTCTGGTACTGCCTCCGGCACCGCTTCCGGTTCCAGCACCGCATTGGCAACTACCACATCCTCAGCTGTCCCAACCATGCCGGCCGTATCCGTCAAATGCCCCGACAACAATAATGGCACATACCTTTCCCTCAACGGCAAGACCTTCCTCCTCGAGTGCTTCACCGACCACGAAGCGGGCGATTTGGCACTCGCCTACGTCGACAGTTACGCTCTGTGTGCCGAGAAGTGCTCCACCACCGACTTGTGCATGGCTTTTGCGTACGTGCCTGGTGGTACTGGTATTCAGGCCCCGTGCTACATGAAGAAGTCGGTCGGACGTGGTTTTAATAACCAGGCTGTTTGGGGAGCTCAGATCATTGCTGTGGCTTCTGCCTCGACCACGACGAGTGCTGCTGCTACAACGACAAATGCGGCGAGTGCGACGGGCTCGAATAGTGTTGTTGATCCTTCTGGATCGGTTGTGACTGGTTCGACTGCTACTGGCTCTGCTACCGATTTCACTACCACCGGCTCGACTGCCACTGGGTCGACTGCTGCTGGTTCATCAGTTGCCAGTGCTACAGGATCGGACGCTATTTCTGCCGCATGGCCGGCCGCCTCCGGTACTGCCGCAACCTCAATCGTCGCTTCTGGTTCCGGCTCGGGTGCTGCCTCCGGCGCGGCTTCGACAGCGGCCTCCACAGTGGCTTCCGGTAGTGCATCTGCCAGTGTTACACCCTCAGCCAGTGTTACACCCTCAGCCAGCGTTGCTCCCTCGGTCAGCGTTGTTCCTTCGGACAGTGTTATTCCCTCGGTCAGCGTTGTCACTTCGGGTAGTATTGCTCCTTCGGATAGTATTGCTCCCTCTGCTAGTGTTACTCCCTCGGCCAGCGTTGCTTCCTCGGCTAGTATTGTCCCATCGGATAGTATCGCTCTCTCGGCCAGTACTACTCCCTCGGCCAGCGTTATTCCCTCGGCCGGTGTTATTCCCTCGGTCAGCGTTGTCACTTCGGGTAGTATTGCTCCTTCGGACAGCGTTGTCCCTTCGGACACTATTATTCCTTCGGACAGCGTTATTCCCTCGGCCAGTACTACTCCCTCGGCCAGCGTTGCTCCGTCGGACAGTGTTGTTCCTTCGGCCAGCGTTGTCCCGTCAGCTAGTACTACTCCCTCGGCCAGCGTCATTCCCTCGGCCAGCGTTGCTACCTCGAATAGTGTTGTTCCCTCGGCCAGTACTACTCCCTCGGCCAGCATTATTTCCTCGGCCAGCGTTGCTTCCAGTGCTAGCGTTGTTCTTAGTACTAGCATTGCTCCTCCGGCCAGTACAGCCGCCCCAGAAAGCGTTGCTCCTACTGGAAGTGTTGCTCCAAGCGCGAGTGTATCTCCTGGTTCTAACACCGGCCTCGCTCCCACAAACTCAGCGAGTGTCGCTCCCACGAATAGTGCCAGCGTCGCCCCTACGAATTCCGTAAGTATCGCTCCCACTGCGAGTGATGCTCCTACTACGAGTATTACTCTCAGCTTCGCTCCAGGATCCAGCTCGTCTACTAGTGCTCCTGCGATTGTCAGTACCACTCTCACTGCACCTACTGTCACCTCAGTTTCTTCTGCCGCTGGCACAACTACTACATCCGCTGCGGCTGTCACGAGTACAGATCCTGCTCCAGTCACCATTACTACCACTACCGCTATTACTTCTACCACGGACTCAACCTCAGCCTTGCCTACAACTAGTACAACTACTACAACCGCCGCCGCCGTTGCTACTACAGCTCCTACCCAAGCCACCACGACCATCGCCACTGCTGCCACTACTTCCACCGCGAACACCGCCTCAGCCTCGCCTACAATTCCTGCTGTTGTGAACTGGGACTACCAAGGATGTGCCAGTGACTCCAACACCGCCGTGCCTACTGCTCGCGCACTCAATGGCACCTACCTATACGACAAAGACGGCATGACCATCCAAAAATGCCTTAACTACTGCGCCCAGCAAAACTACCCCCTCGCCGGCCTCGAGTTCCAATCCCAATGCTACTGTGGTCTCGAGTTCAAGCCCGGCTACAGCCTCGGCCAGACTGGTTGTAATCTCACCTGCGTCGGTGACCCATCAACACGCTGCGGTGGCCGCGCTCGTCTGGACGTCTTCAGACAAACCAACTACGTGACGCCCCGCCTCGTCAACCCGTCTGTGGTTAACGGGCGCTTGGCGACGCCACAGGGTTGCTTCGTCGACAACTCAACGGCTCGTATCCTCAAAGCTCACTCGTACACCAACAGCACGAGCATGACGGTCGAGATGTGCCACGAACGCTGCCAATCGAGGGGCTACAGTCTCTTTGGCGTGGAGTTCGGCAAGGAGTGTTACTGCGCCAATTCGCTCGCGGACACGGCAGTGGCGGCGTCGGAGCTGTATGAGTGCAAGAGGTTGTTCTGCGTCGGTGATAAGACGGAGTTCTGCGGTGCTGGCTCAAGGTTGCTGCTTTACAGTATTCAGCCGGCTGGGACTACTTCTCCTGCTAGGAGGAGTATAGGAAGGAGAGACGAGGGGATGGTGAAGGTGAAGTTACCCAATTTGGGGAAAGATGGGGAGCCTGATAATGAGTTGAACTGGGATGGTGATGGGGGTGTGGGACAAGTGAAAAGAAGCGGCTCTGGGTGGAAGAAAATTGAGAGGCGATGGGGACGTAGTGTTGGACGGTGATGATGATACTTGGGTGTTTTTTCTGTCTTCTCTTTCTTCCCCGTTACATGCATTGTTGTTATTGTTAGGCATGCTGATAAGGTGTGCGCGGAAGGATGTAATTATTAGTGGCTCGGAGGTTACTTAGAGCAAAGGAAGCGTACGCATATACAACTGTCTCCCAATCTAATCATACATGTTGTCTTAATGTGCTGGAATCCTGATTCGAATCGCTTATCTTGGTACAAACATAGTGATATATCCCCAAGTATCCATGCTTAGAGTTCATCAACCACATCAGATGCATTCTTCAGGGGTCCAGGAACGCTTTCAGGGGTAACAGGCTCATAACCCTAACCCCGAGCCCATTTAGCCATGGCCCGTGCTGCCAAGCATTGGCCCCGGTTCGAGACTCCGCAGAGGCTCCAAAAAAATTCCGGCGGGCGGCACAACGGGGACCGGCACCTCTTCGAGCCTCGACGCGGGACCAGGACATTGCGCTTGCCGGAGAAGGAACCTCGCTGCCCTCTGCCCGTCCGTGACAGACCCTCGGCCCCGATTTCCCGCGTGCGCCGGACCCTCTTCCTCAACCACCACCCCGAACGAAGCGACAAACACCCCGTCGCCAATTCCGAAACCAGAGCGTCTGCCCGAACGCCGGTTTCTTTTTTTCGGTATCTTAATTCACCATGGCCAGTCTCCGCGGGGTCTCGCGATCGGCTCGCGCTCTCCAGCCTTTCTCTGCTCAGTTCGCCGTCCGAAGATGCGCCTCGACACAGGCCGGTGCCGGCGCTGCTGCCGCTGCTCCCAAATCCAACATCCCCGACCTCGCCGAGCTTGAGACACGGTCGGCATTGGACGCTCCCATCCCCAGCGAAGAGGACAAGAAGGAGTTCAGGCCATGGAAGCGCGCGGCCGACAGGAAGGCGAGGTTGCCTAGCAGCAGGTGCGTTATACACCCTCTGTCCTGTGATTCACATAGCTAGCCACATACATGTATATATACATATATATACGCAAACCATAAACAAGATGCTAAACGTTGCTAACCACCATGCCTCACCTCCTACTGAACAGATACCAATACCACCCCCCCAAGTATAACCGCGGTCCCCTCCACCCTATCCAATCCCCTCCCTCCTCCGACCCTATCGCCCGCGACTTCGTTCCCGGCCCCTTCAACATGCCTCGTCTCAAGGAAACCTTCCGCACCGTCATGGCCTCGGACCTCATGACCCTGGCCTACATCCACACACCCCCGGGAACGCCCAAAAAGGAACCCACGGAGCGCTTGCGCGCCTGGGAGGGCGACTCGCCCTATTTCGCCAACCGTGCCCGCCGCGCGCCCCGCGGTGCCCCCGAGCTTCCCATTCGCGAGCGCGACATTTCGTTCCGCAACATTCCCGAGATCAAGGAAATCACCGTCTCCACCTTCGTGCCGCTCGGTCTCAAGAACCCGGACTTGCTGATTGTGGCCCGGGCGGTGCTGCTGGCCATGACGGGGACGATGCCGGAGATGACGAGGTCCAAGAACAACGTGGTGCAGTGGCAGCTGCAGGCGAACAAACCGGCCGGGTGCAAGACGACGATTTACGGAAACGCGGCGTGGGAGTTTATGGATCGGTTGATCCATTTGGTTCTCCCCCGGATCAAGGATTGGAAGGGTGTGCCGGCGAGTACGGGTGATGGAAGCGGTAATGTGCAGTTTGGTTTGAATCCGGAGGATGTTCAGCTTTTTCCCGAGGTGGAGTGCAACTATGATGTGAGTTTGTTTCTTGGGAAATGATGGGGGGAGATGAGAGAGGAGACGCAGGAGCTGAAGTTGGAGTTGGAGCCCGAGTTAGGGGGAGTAGGGAAAGTTTTGACTCTGGCCCCCGGCTCTGGCTCTATCGTCTTCTTCTTGTTTTCTTGGATTTGACGACAGATTACTGACTTTCTATTCTCTCTAGATGTACCCCGCCAAGATGATTCCCGGTTGCCATATCGCCATCAAGACGACAGCCACCTCCGACAGGCAGGCTAAGCTTCTACTCCAGTCCCTCGGCGTTCCTTTCTACAGCAACTAAGCCCCAAATGGGCTGTTGGTCGTGAGAGGTTGAGAAAGGGACGAGATTCAAGGAAGGGGGATGAGAAGATGATGAACAACATCTCGCATCATGATAGTTGTTGGATGACAATTGAGGAGGATGAGGAGATGTGTGAAACTTGTACAATACGAATACACTAACCACATAGGGATGATGTATGTTGGGTGTATATATACCTTTTGTAACAACATCACGAGGAGGAAGCTTATAGACGAAGTGGAAAGGATACGGAAGAAGAAGAATACCACTGGGTCTGACGGCTAAAAATCAAAGAAGTAAAATCACCAATGCGTAAAACAACTGGAGGGGTGTCATCATTGCGTGAACTGGATTGTGTAATATCTTCCGTCCGCTCTTTAACAGACATCGTCAAGGGTATCTGCTTCATAAACAACTCCCAAGTCTATAACCACATATCCATATCCCAGTCTAGCTTTGCACAGAACAGGTCAAGGTATCATGACAACAGAACCCATCCATCATCATCTTGATCAACAAGAGTGTTTTCAAACAAAAACCCAAAACGCCTATTCCAATGCCAAACCCAAGACCATATCTTTCCACACCCGTTTTTCCTTCCAGTTGGTCATTCCTATCATAACCCCGAACTCTCAAACCCACTCATCCCCTTAGACAGCCCTAAGCAGACTTGGCCTTGTTTCTCAAAACGTCAATAACCTCATCCACCTTATCCATATCCGCCGCATCCACCTTGGTCCCGTTGTTCACCAAAACCTCATGACCGCGCTTATGCATCTCGTCCGCCGCGACATCCATAGCCGGCTGATAATTCCTCACCGCACTGCTAAGCGCATACGTAGCCTTGCGTCTCACCTTCTCCGACTCGCCCTCCTTCATCGCCAGGTCCACCAACTTGGGCACGCCGCCCATGGCCAACAGCCGTTCCTGCGTCTTTTGGTTGTTTTGCACCGCCGTGCCCAGGCACCAGGCAGCGTGGTACCTCATATCCTCGTCCTCGTGGTCCAGCAAGGAAATCAAGGGGGACCAGAGAGACAGTTCCTCAAGAAGGTTGGCGTTGTCCAGGTTCTCGATCAGCTGCTCGAAGTTGTCAAAGGCAATCAACTTGTTTTCGCGCGTGGTCTCGGGAGAAGGGTCGGTGATCACTTCCATGGCGGCTTTCATGAGCTCGGCTTCAGAAGGACCGCCGAAGAGGGAGGCGAGGACTTCGGGATCGACGGGGCGGGGGCCGGAGCCAGTGACTTGGGGAGCGGGAGAGGTGGCTACGGCGCCGGTGCCGGTGGCGGGGCCGGAGTTGTTATTAGAGGTGGGGGCGCCGTTGGAGTTGTAAGATTGGCCGGCGTTGGCGGCGGTTTGAGCTTCAAGGCTCCATTTTAGGAGCTGGTTGAGGTTCTTGTCCATTTTGGATGTAAGGGCAGTGTTCTTTGTTTTGTTTGTAGGGGTTTTGTTGATTTAGACTTGGATTGCTTTTGTCTGCTGGTGGTTTGCGCCGGGAGTAGTGCGGGTTGACACTTGGACGTTTGGTCTGTTTGCTTGGGAGACTCGATCAATACTTGATACCGGATAGATGCTTCAGAGGTCCAACAGGATCCTCAAAGTTCGTGGGATGGATGGTTATAGATGATGATGACTTGATCAGTCAACTTTTGTTTTTGGTAGTTTGCGCCCCGCCATGTACAAATAGTATAGCGGTAGCTGCAAGGCTGACTTATCGATAATGCGAATGCCATCCAATCCCCATCTCGATTGTTCTGTGGGTTTCACGAAAGTTCGGTCCAAAATAGGCTTAGTGCCTTCCCCACGTGTTTACTGACTGGCAATTTGAAAAAGGAATGAGACGTGGAGCCGCTTGCTTATGAGGATCTGGATTTAGGCAAGGCTGCTTTCGCTAGGTCATTCTTCCGAAATCATAGCTAGCCCTAGAAGAGAATGATTTCAGCTTCCAGAAGGAAATGCTTAAACGAAGATGGGCATTATTAACCTTGGTTCAGAAGAAGAAGGGGAGAGGGAGGGGTTCAAAATGAAGTCCAAGCTTCATGTGCTTTGATAAGTACTGTGTAGCTTCCTGAGCTGAAATGATCTGTGCGCTGCCCCTCCTCACCCTTTCACAAGTCATGGAACGCACGATGAGGATAGTGGGGCGTGGGCAGCCGCTGCCCCACCTAGTATAGCCCCTCGGCGTTCCCTTGTTGCTCCAAACCGTCTGTCGCTCTTGCGGGGGAGACAACCACTACGACAGGGCGAACAGACGACGGGACAGGCTGACATGACCTGAGTTGCCTGAATGATCACAACATTTCGAGTGTTGGCTCTGGAGGATTGCCTGAAAGTGACGACGAAAGGGTCAACAAAAAGGCTGGTGACTGTTTGGAAAAAGGTCGCATTGACCATGAGCGTTCAGCAGGACTTCAGGTTGTGTTCGAGAATGGCCCCTTCAAGGCCAAAGCGTCATCACTTGACATTTGAAAAAAGCTCGAAGAGTCTTCTGATATCGTCAACGTCGAACGCGGGGGGTGGTCCGGAGTGGTCCTTGATGTTGCGTGTTGTCTGCCGTCCACGTATACTCGAGCTTGTTGTCGTCAAACGGAATCCCGCTCACAATGCTACTGCCTGGCCCACAGTCATCGATACCCACCGCGCTGGAACACACGCATTGATGATCAAATGGACCAGCCGCGCCATGTCCGAGCGTGCGGAACTCGTCGCCTCGCTTGGCGGCTGTTTCTCGTAAGTGTAGATTTGTGTATGCATCCAGACACAGACTAAAAACCGCCGATGTTGATGCTCCTTTTAGATCACTGAAAGTGCGAATCGTGATCATCCTTGCCGGGAATGCCGTCTCAACGTCTGACAAGGCTGACATGTTAAAGTGCAATGCATACGCAAGCCAATCGCGCGGCGCAGGGAACAAATAGCGGGCGCCTGGAGGAGAGCACTAGATGTCCATGTCAGGCTCAAGAAAGGAGACAGGATGCCTGCTTGGCGAAACAAGATAATGATCAGTGTTTGCGTATCTCGGCCTCATGTCTTTGTTGTTGTTTGGAATGCAGAATTCCCGGATACCTAATGGGGCATACGTCAGCTATAAACTTGGTCCAACGTGAGCAGCGAAACAAAAAAATTCCAATTCCAGGCTGTGAAGGTTGTGTGGATGGTGGGATGAAGCAGACGCCAATAAGCGGGTGGTGGTGGTGGTGGTGGTGGTGGTGATGGTGGTGTTGGACTGTGGCAATACCTCGTTCTCATCCCCAATGAGATGGCGTTTCCTTGGAAATGACACCGCTGCTGGAGGTCCCCGTACCGTATGGACCCAAGTGCATACCGTAGGCTACATATCTATCTCCGTCGGATCCCGGACCGGGGCGGCCATGGAGCCTTCAAGACACTCGGGCCCCGGGGCCATGGGGATTGCGATCCGGACAAGCTCCAAGAGATCGTGATCAGCCAGGCTCCAACAGAAGAGACGGTAAAGAAGACATTGGATCTTCTGGAATTGCAATCGCGGTTCTCCAGGAGGAGTAATAAACAAGTAATGAACGGGGTACGACAAGGGACAGCGACCAGGTACGACGGCAACGACGCAGGGGAGGGACATTAGGTTGAAGAAGACTGAACGCTGACACAACGTCGGGGCGGACCCAGCCACGCACCACGCTCCCACCGTGCTCACTACCTACGCTACGTACAACTGAACCGTCTGTCTCGCTGCACCCGTCGAACGGCACGCAGCGGTGACGACCCCGGCCGGGCTGCGATATGATACCTTTACATAGTATACAAGTCGTGTATGTACATAGGTAGTTAGACTGGAATCAAAGGGGATCTTGAACGGGCTGCCAGTTGCCAGACGGGCATGTCAACCTAGGTAGACGTCGCCTCCGAGGTGCGGAAGCCTCCCAAAGTGTGTTGGCGGCAGGAAGATCCCCTTTGCCCTCCCAAAATTAGGCGGTGTCTCCTACCCACTTTCCAGACGGATCGCAGGCCACTCAGGAATCCACCTTGAGCCACCTCGAATCAGGCATGATACTGCGACTTGACAACTTGTCCACGAAGATGCCAGAGGGCAAGGGGGCGGTGCGGCCAGTGATTTGATGATTTAGAGTAGAGGTGTGGAAAGCGAACAGCGAGGGAGAGGGGACGGCCTGGGTAGAAGGCAGCGCACCTAGTTAGGTTTGTAGTCTCCAACTGTAGTGATCCATCCCGTCGTGAACCGGGCAACATGAATGGAGTGCAGGCAGCGCAGCAGCCCGGCGAGGAATGAATGCTTGTTGGGACCTGGAAGTCGGCCGGGCAGTGTCAGTAGTATGCCACTCAGTGACATCGGTGTCGTCCTTGCCCGCCTTTCCTTCCTCCCGTCCTCCTCCTCCTCCGCCGCCGCCAAGTCCCACAACCACGCCGTGAGGTGACCAGGCCCAGTCCAACCAACCTAGCAGCCAGCAATGCCCAGTGCAGACAGTCCCGGCCCAGTCCCGTCCCCAATCAACCGTCCCCTCCCCTCCCCCCCAGTCCGCCATCCGTTCCCTCGCACCTGGCACCACAGCAATCCCATCCCCTTACCTCCCCTACCTTTACCCCCCTCAATCCACCCGCCGCCTCGTACTCCCAAAGCTGACCTTAAATTCACCTCCCCTTTTCCAACTCTTCCGCCTACCGAACAACATCCAAATTTTTGCCCAAACAACGTCTCTACGTCCTTCGGCAACACCTCTCTCAGCCAAATCATCATCGCTCCATCGATCCGGGAATCGTCGAGCGTATTTAATAACTCTTCTTCTGTACCTTTTGCTTAATCCGACACTTTTCGTCACCACCTAATCTATCACAATGGAGGGTACGTAACAACATGTCCACATTCCTGCCCAGTCTGCCCGCGCTGGCGAGCTGGTCGCCGGCGGATCGGACTTTGACCATCACCTTCTCCCTCTACTGGTTATCATGGGCACAAGCTGATTCGTGCGTTCCCGCCAACAGAAGAAGTTGCCGCCCTCGTCATCGACAATGGGTAAGCTTTCCCCTCCTTTTCGCCTGCGCCTCACCGACTCCTAGGGGAAGCGTCATATTCCTCCCGCAATCGACGCCTCGCGGCCCCCCAATAGCCCGCTCTACATAGTGAACAATTACGATGGACAGAAGCTAACAACCGCCCAGTTCGGGTATGTGCAAGGCCGGTTTCGCCGGTGATGACGCCCCCAGAGCTGTTTTCCGTAAGTGTTCCCACTATTCCCGCGAGGCGCTCCTGCTTGAGACGGGCAACGTGTCAGCAGAGCTACTTGCCTCTCCGCCAAGACCCAACGTCCCAGCCATGCTAACATGTCGCGATAGCTTCCATCGTCGGTCGTCCCCGTCATCATGGGTATGCATGCCACTTTCTCCCCAGCGTCCCATGCGCGCAACACTCCAAGACGTTCAGCAAAAACTGACAACATGCCAGTATCATGATCGGTATGGGCCAGAAGGACTCGTATGTCGGTGATGAGGCTCAGTCCAAGCGTGGTATCCTTACTCTCAGGTACCCCATTGAGCACGGTGTCGTTACCAACTGGGACGACATGGAGAAGATTTGGCATCACACCTTCTACAACGAGCTCCGTGTCGCCCCCGAGGAGCACCCCGTCCTTCTTACCGAGGCTCCCATCAACCCCAAGTCCAACCGTGAGAAGATGACACAGATCGTTTTCGAGACTTTCAACGCCCCCGCCTTCTACGTCTCCATCCAGGCCGTCCTTTCTCTCTACGCCTCCGGTCGTACCACCGGTATCGTCCTCGACTCCGGTGACGGTGTCACTCACGTCGTCCCCATCTACGAGGGTTTCGCCCTTCCCCACGCCATTGCCCGTGTTGACATGGCTGGCCGTGATCTTACTGACTACCTCATGAAGATTCTCGCTGAGCGTGGTTACACCTTCTCCACCACCGCCGAGCGCGAAATCGTTCGTGACATCAAGGAGAAGCTCTGCTACGTCGCTCTCGACTTCGAGCAGGAGATTCAGACCGCTGCCCAGAGCTCTTCTCTCGAGAAGTCCTACGAGCTTCCCGACGGTCAGGTCATCACCATCGGCAACGAGCGTTTCCGTGCCCCTGAGGCTCTCTTCCAGCCTTCCGTCCTTGGTCTCGAATCTGGCGGTATCCACGTCACCACTTTCAACTCCATCATGAAGTGCGATGTCGACGTCAGGAAGGATCTCTATGGCAACATTGTCATGGTAAGTCCCCGTTCGCTGTGGAGATGGCAGTATAGGCTAGGTCCGCTAACAGAATCGTCACTAGTCTGGTGGTACCACCATGTACCCTGGTCTCTCCGACCGTATGCAGAAGGAGATCACTGCTCTTGCTCCTTCTTCCATGAAGGTCAAGATCATTGCTCCTCCCGAGCGCAAGTACTCCGTCTGGATCGGTGGTTCCATTCTCGCCTCGCTCTCGACCTTCCAGCAGATGTGGATCTCCAAGCAGGAGTACGACGAGAGCGGTCCCTCGATCGTGCACCGCAAGTGCTTCTAAAGTGGGTGCCCTTGAGAGGTGGTTGTTGCAGTTGGAAGCGGAGCGTCGTCGGCTTACACCATGTATGTAGTTCAATAAATGGACAAATCCACGACTGTCACGAGCCAGCGCCAACTGGGGACATAACACCCCTATCTGCGTCAAGTAGCATGTCTGCATTGCGCGTGTATTCTGCACAGGTCTCTCTTATACAAAAAGTAGCGAGCGTGGTCAGAAGGGGGTTGGCGTCTCTTTTCTCTACTAGAAGACATAAATAATGGCCTTTTTTTTTCTGTTTTCTGGGTGGGCGGCGACGGCTGCGAATGCGTGGGATAGGCGCGGTCAAGTATGCGGGCTTCTTGATCTTGCCAACACCCTTTCTCTATTTACTACACTTTTAGCAGCAAGATTTAGTCACCACTGGGAAATTCGAGGTTATCGTGGATGGAGAGATCATCAAAATTCAAACAGCGTTCTGTATTTCTTAGCACCTTCAGCTGCCCTTTCGTTGGTCGTGAGATACGTGCAAGCCAAGGAGAAAAGGGGAATTGCTAGCCGTCAAGGTATCGGATCCACCGTAATGTCTTATTGACTTGAAGGGGAGGCGGCCATACCTACCGAATCCAAGCGATCCTCACCGCTTCTAGAACCGAGTAACAAGCAGCCGTTTCCTTATGATCAAACATGGCCAGGATTGCAAACCAGTGGCAGAAGCCATAGATATGATGGCTTTTCGCTGACACCATGGGTATCCTCATTGTCTACCGCCATCCGCGTTGTTCCCTCCGTGCTTCTCAGCCTTTTCTCCCTTTTCAGCCTCTTTTCCTTCTTGTACCTCCTCTTCTTCGTATCCTTCCAGCTCTTCACCTTCATCTTCTCCCTCAACCTCTTCCCCCTCTGCCCCCTCCACCAACTGCTGACCAACACCACCCTTGGCCTTTTCCTCCTCCAGCTTTTTGTACTTTCTTCTCGCCTTCTTCGCCTTACTATCCGCCTTCTTCTTCTTGACGTTTCCCACAATCGCCAAGCGACTCTTGTCCCCGTTGAGAAACAAATCGACCTTGGCGGCGAGGATCTCCCGGGCCAGCTTGCGGTTTTGCGTGCGCGAGCGCGTTTCTTGGCATTTGATGACGATGTTGGTGGGGATATGCCGGAGTTGAACAGCGCTGTTGGTTTTGTTCTGTCGGAGGGAGGAGATCCGGGGGATTAGTAACTGGGGTGTAGGAGGGCAGCTGGGCAGTCGGAGGAGAAAGAGGGTAACGGGGGAAGGAACGTACAATCTTTTGTCCACCAGGACCACTACCCTTGAGGTAAACCTCTTCCAACTCGTCCTCGGGGAGTTTAGGGCGGGGGGGCATTTGCCACGCTTTGAGCCATGATGGAGTGCTGGTGGTGAACGGTGCTGCTGCTGCTGCTGCTACTGCTACAACAGCGCTCGCGGATGTTGCGATCACCGGCCGTCGTCCTCCTCCCGAGCCCGAGAGAAACGGTAGGCCGCCATATTTCAGGATTCGACCTACTGCTCCTGTGAAAAGGGCTGAAAGCGAAGGTACCGGGTGTAGGCGAAGTGTTGTCGTCTTCATATCATCCGAATCCGGAGCCGAAGACTGTCAACGACGGGGACGGGACGGGAATCATGATGATGACGGAACGGAGCCACGGCCAAGGCATGGTCGCATCTGGCTGGCATTTGCACCGCGGATCCAGCGCGGTTCGTCGGGGCCGGCAGGCAGCGGTTGCGGTCACTCAGGTCGTTCGTTCGTCGTCACCCGGGCGGGCCAAAGTTGGCGCAGTGTACGCTACGTACCGATATGGTGGGGCTTTCGGTCAAGACAGTCGCGGCGGGTGCTGTCCAATGATAAGGGACCGATAAGATTTTGCACGACGCTAATTTCAGGGGCTCAGCATCGGATGAGAGAGCCCGAGCATGGAAGGCGCGGATGCTGACTACGTACAGTACGTAGGCCGCTACCATAGGGGGGTTGTTGTTGTCGTTAGGTCGCTCTGGGCTCTTCGATTGAGGGCAGTTCCGGGGTTCCGGGCAGACGGGCACTGAATGTTGCTTTCATGCAACTGCACAATCCTTTGGCACAAAGCAGTGGCACTGAAAGATTGGTCGGGGTGCTCTCGGCCTCGCAGGCGGTGACAGAAAGTTCCCCGGTTCCGCCCGTCGGCGCCCTATCGTTGTCACGCAGGTACGGTGGCCCAAGTGCGCGTTAGGCCGTTTATCCAAAAGTTCAAAAACAAAAAGTCAGTGCCGGCTGCAGGCGTTAGGCTCGCACCCAGAGGGTGGTATCCAAATCCTAGTAATAAGATAACCTTAATAAGCTGTTTCCTACAACGTTACTTTAATTCCTATTGACTCCTATTAACTCCTATTAATTTTTATTAATTCCTATTAACTCCTATTAATTCTTATTAGTTCTTATTAACTCCTATTACTTTATTACTTTATTACTTTATTACTTTATTACTTTATTACTTTATTACTTTATTACTTTATTACTTCTTTATTTTATTATTTTTATACGAGAGGTTTACTAACTTTTAATAGTAGTTGGTATAAATAGACCTTACTAACCCCTATTTATATTTGGTTCTTTTCTAAATTCTTAAATTAGTATAAAGTAATAATATAAATAGATCCCGCTCTCTATCTCCCCCCCCTCCCCCTTCCTTCATCCTCCTAATAAAAGTTTTAGTATTTAGAACCCTCTTAGTAAAGTAATAATATAAATAAATCCTTCTACCCTTTAGAGAAAAAAAAGATAAAAAAGAAAAAAAGAAGGAAAAAAGGTATGAGAATAGGGAGGGGGGGGAGGAAGAAGAAAAAACTAAGGAAGGTTAAAGTAAAAGTTCAAAGTCTGGGCGTAAGCGCTATACGGTAGAGGCGTTAATATAAAATGACCAGCAGTTAGCTGCAGTTGGAAGCTCGGACCAATTTATAAACGGCCTAACGCGCACTTGGGCCACCGTACGCAGGGAGCGCAGGGCAGTGGTTCGCGACTCCCCAGCCGTGCGGCGGCCAGTGGGTGAATAGTTGCGACTGAAACAAAACGGCGGATTTTAGGTAGGAATCCGTCTCTCGACGGAAACATCCGATTCGAGAACCCTTTTTGCAGTGAACAAACTATTTCGACGGGATTCCTCCTGACCTTGCCGCTTCCTTCATTGCCTTTTTTTATTCCCTGCGCGATATCATTCGTCTTCGTTTCTCTCGGGTTCATTCTTCGTTGACCTTGACCGGCTCTAATCATCGACTCTGAACTTTTTGTAATTCGTCTGTTACCGCCTTTCCCATCGCATCGCGTGTTGCCCGTCGCAAACTCAAATTCTATCGAATTACTCGACATCGAACGATCGCAAAACCGCAACGGTTCTTTCTCGATTCCCGCCTTTTCCGAGTAGACAAACATACACACACGCACACGTACACCAAGACACCGGACACCGGACACAGACTCCCGCCCATCATGTCTTCCTACCTCGAGGCCTTCAGCAAGTGGTTCAAGCTCAAGATTTACCAGCTTGAGGTTACCATGAGTGTGTACATCTTTACGCCTATTGAGAAGTTCATCTTTTGTATGTCGCTTTTGCCTTCCCTGGTCCTCTTTGGTCTCGTCCTCTTCACATCCACATCCACCATTATGCTCCCCATCCATCCCCATCTCTTCTACCATTCAAAGCCAATGACTAACAATCCTGCCTGCCACAGACTCTGTCCTCTTCCTCCTCGTCTCTCTCACCTTCATCGCCACCTTCCTCTACCTTCCGCATCACGTGCAATTCATCGCCCGCCGCGCCTGGTTCTACATGCACGGCGACGCCCAGGACTCGCTTCTCGACGTCGTCCACAACGCCGTGACCGTTACCAAGAGCGCATTGCTAGGATCGGAGAAGACTGTCGAAGCATTGGGCAGGGCGGCGGATGCTACGATGGGCATTGTTAGGGAACTTTAAATACCCATTGGACGAGAAAAATAAGTGGAACAGTCAGGCCCGCTCTGAGGCGGCGAGAGCTGTGTTGTGTCTGAGTGAGGCGACTAGTGACAGTGATGTCGGTAATGGCAGGTGGGAGGGGAGTTGTCACGACGAGAACTTGAGGCTATCGGGTTGGCTATATCCTTCTTCTTTCTAGTAATGGGAAAGTAGAGGGGCGCGATACTCGAGCGAGTACCGCTCAACAAATTTGGGTTGGCAGACTGGGGACAACATCAACACCATGTCTTCGTACAACTCGACAACTCGACAGCCGATGGGTTCGACAGTTTGTGCGCACCTCAGAACCGGACCCTCCGGTTTTCGCGATACAGGCAAGACAAATCTTATGAGGGGATGAGATTCTCTCGGTCGATGCTGCATTTTCAAAGGGCCTTTAATGTTGCTGGAATGAGGTTGGGATCTTGACGTCGTATGGAGCCAAGGGGTATCAGTCGGGTTATTTGGCGTTTGGGGTCGGGGAAAAGAAATATCATACGTAATGAAGCTAGCTGGTCAAGGTTGGGAGACAGCAAACGATAGATGAACACTACATAATATTCTTGCATACAAGGACACGACAGGACCGCCCCGGCTGAGGTAGTCTGATAATAGCAGTACATGATCAACAGGTTTTTATGGACAGATGATCTTTGATGGCTCGATGGGTGTCATAACAGCAGGTTGGTTACTAGTTACCTTGTCAACATCTCTTCAACATCCAAAGTCAGTCAGCATCCAATGTTGTGTGGGAGATTTTGTGTAAGCAGGCACATTTTGAGTAGTTAATCATTTCGTACACTCACTCATCGTCTATTTCTACAAACCACGAACCAAGATGATATCAATGATATTTTGGTCTATCCGTCCTTTCGCGCGTCCAAACCTTACAAAGAAAACTCATATATCCTCAAAGACCCATCCTCCCCAGCAATAGCCAGCTCCCTCGCCTGCTTCCCACTTGTGTCGTCCTCACCCTCACCACCCTTCCTCACCCTCGGCCTCCATGCAAGTTGCATCACCGCCTTGGGCAACCACAACTGCTCTCCCACCTTATACGTCTCTGCCACGCTCACTTCCGCGCCATCCCCGCTAACCTTGATCGCCAGCACCGATAGCTTGCCGCTCTCTGTTCCCACGGCCAGCAGGTACGTGTTGCTCACGCTTCCGTCTTCTTCTTCCGACGAATCAAGAGGCTCAGAAGCAAAATCCAGCGCCGTAACGGGTTGGTCTTCTGTCAGGGACAAACCCAAAGTAAATTCCTCTTCTTCCTTCTTTTCCTTCTCCAAGGTTTCTTCCCCTTCTTCAAGTTTGTGCTGTTGTTGTTGTTGTCGAGAAGGCCTCCTAACCCAGACTTTGACCGCTTTATCCCTACCGGCCGTCGCGAACACGTCGACAGAGGAGGATGACGAGCTCTTGGGCGCCCACGCCGCATCCAGAATCATGCGGCTATGACCCTTGGGGTTCAACTGCAGGAGCGTGTATCCTGCGCTGGATTGGGGATCGCGCTGGAAGACGGCCCACTGTCTATCTTTGCCTACAGACAGCAAGTACGTGTTGTCGGAAGAGAAGCGCAGGCGGTGAATGGTAGAGGTGTGCGCCTTGAGCGGAGGACGGAGTTCGGTCCACTTGTCGGTTTCGAAGAGGCGGATGACGGCGTGGTTGAGGGAGGCGGCGCGGCAGGCTGAGGCGATGAGGTGGGTTTCTTTTTCTTTTTCTTTTTGGTCAGATGAAGAAGGATGAGAGACGGCAAGACAGGAGATCTCGTAACCGTGTCCATACAACTTCTCTACCTCAGGCCAGAGCGTATGTCGACTGAGACTTTCTTCGAAAGGAGGGTGGTCGATTTCCAACGCGGACTTGCGCACCATACTCGCTGGGTCGAGCATGTTCTCGCGGTCTTGCATCGTGACGTCACCACCGCGTCCGCCGTCGGGATTACCGCCGGCGGCAGCTGAGGCGTCGGCGTCGTCGTCGATCACGTCGATGGCCTTGTTGGAGAGGCCGAGCACGGGGATGTTGGCGGCGTCGGCGGGGAGGGAGTCAAAATCGGAGGAGGAAAGAGCAGAAGAGGTGCCCGTCAGCCGGTTGAGCATGCGGGCGACGGCTTTGGGCTCGGTGAAGACACGCATGAGCTTCTCGTCGGCGCCGGAGACAAAAGAGGTCGAGGACAGGGAGTCGATGCAGTTGAGGTCATAGCCGTGGATTTGGGGGCGGGCCATCTCGTGCCAGGTACGCTTGCTGGGGTAGGTGGTTAAGGAAGGGTTGGTGGCCCATTCGGCGTGCAGGCGGGTGGTTTGGTCGGAGCTAGTGGAAAGGAGGTAGACGCCGTTGCGGGACCACGAAATGCCCGTCACGGCTCGGGTGTGCCCGGATACGGCAAAATTCTGCTTCCAGGCTTGGTCGTCGCTGTCCCAGTCCCAGCGACGCCAGCTGCCGGTGCGCCCGAGGGTGATGACGGTGGTGCCGGAGGGCGACCACATGCCGGTCCAGAAGCCACCGATACTGCCGGTCGCCGTCGTGGCGCCCTTTTCACGACTGACCTCGCCGAGACGGGCGACGGTGATCCAGATGCCGGACTCCGGATCGGACTCCCAGATCGAGAGCGAGTTGTCTGCTGAAGCGGAGAGGAGCTGGAGGGTACCCTCGCTGCTGTCGGAAGTGGTGGAAGTAGGAGAGCGGCACCAGCGCGCGGTGTAGATCCAGTCTTCGTGACCAAGGAGCAGAGCCTCGAACATGATGCAGTACTTGTTGGTAGCGGGGTCAGCTCCCTCGACTTTGATCTTGTGGATCTTGTTTGCTGGGCCAGGAGTCAAAGCAGCGGCAGCAGCCGAAGCATCTGAGGCGGCCGAGGTCGGCATAGACAGGGCACTGCCTTGGTGTATACGCCATATCCTGATGTACTTGTCCTGGCTGGCTGAGGCGAGAAGAATGTCGCTCTCGGCTTCGGACTTTGGCTTTTCGCGGATAAAATCAAGAGATCGGATCCAGTTCTCGTGGCCTGGGAGGGTGGCTTGAGGGGTGAATTCGAGCTGGGTGTCGTCTACTGTCGAGGCAGTGAAGACCTGGATGATGTTTGTGGTCCCGGCAACGGCCAGAATGAGAGAAGTTCCCTCGTCGTTTAGGGGGCTCAAGGCAAGGGCCAATGGGAAGTACTTCTTCGCAGTCTTGATGGTTTGAAGAAGGGTGGTTTGGCCGGATGAGACATCCACAGACCAGACCTTGACGGTAGAGTCTGCCGCGCCCGAAACAAAAATCCGACGCTTAGTGCTGCCAACGGGAATCTTGAGAGCTGCGAGGTAGTTGATAGGGGCCGTGTGCTCCTGTAGGGTCTGGACACATGTTGCGGTACCGGTCTCGCTGTCGAGGGCCCAGACCCGAAGGCTTTGGTCGTCGCCTCCGCTTACTAGGTATGTTGACTTTTCATCTTGCAACCTAGGAAGAAACTTGACGGCCCGTACATGAGCTGTATGGCCGCTCAAAATCTGGGAGATACCAACAGTGTTCTGGGGTAGCAATTAGCAAGGAATTTCAGTTGAGCGAAAAGTCATGTTGCGGTCATACCGAAGGGTTCCAGAGGCAGACGTTGATGTCCGCGCCAAATGCCACAAGGCCATTCTCTGCCCAGTCAGCGGCAGCGGCGTACCTGTTTGCGCCGGCCGAAAGATAGCGAGGGTCAATTGCTGTTTCCGTCATGATATTTGTCTCTTTGATTTTGACCCCAATTTTCAGATCACACTCACTAGTAAACAGTCAGTGAGTGATGGGAAGTCGTGAATTGTAGTTCAAGAAGTCGCTGTCAGAGGGGTCGTCATGATTGGCTGCAGTGCCCCAGCTTGGAGTTTTTTAGGCCCTTGCTTGGGCCTGAAATGACTCCACTGCAATCGTTGACTGCACGACTTAACACAGCAGCTTCTTTCCCAGTTTATGCAATTAGCTTCCAAAAACAGGGCAGTTGCAGAAATTGCCCAATCAAAGCCTATATATCTAGCTGTCAGCTCGGCCCAAATATCCCTTTCTTGGACACGAACTACACAATTTAACCTGAATTTCTTCAACCTCATCCGTACAACTCCATAGACGTTTGCTTTGTATTACACTTCGATTTTGGACACATATCACTATGTCGGACCAAAAAGATCAAACGATTGACATCACGGTCGATTTTTCGTGAGTTTTTTCCTGACTTCGATGAGCTTGACCCCTCTCACTAACACGTTCATTATCTCTCGTCCAGTGGCGGCCTCGAAATTCTCTTCTCCAACCAGAAACATCATGCTCTCTCAGTACCAGCCCAGGACGCCCAAGGCAAGCCAGCAAACGTCGGCTTTCTCATCAACTATCTTTGTCAGACGCTCATGACCGACCCACGCGCTGATCTCTTTGTGCTTGGTGGTGAACTGTGAGTCGTGTTTTGTCTCGGTGTGCTGGTAAAGCATTTTACTAACAGACCTAAACCAAATAGCCGCCCAGGTATCTTGTGTCTAATCAACGACAGTGACTGGGAGCTGGAAGAGGAAGATGCCTATGTGCTTCAGCCAGGAGACAATATCCTCTTTATCTCTACGCTTCACGGTGGTTAGTGCACCAAGTGATGACGGTTGGGGGTTTGATAGACATCGGAGCGATTATATATGCAGTTGGTACCCGTCCCCTTTGTTTCCTTCATGATAATGACTGACCGTCATCAAAAGGTCAGTTTCTACACCGCGATGAGTAGTATCTGATATTTGAGAAATGTGGCTCAGTTGTGTTCCTGGACCTGACGTGACGTTAAACATGAACACGGCGAGTGCATGCTGTCCGCGACACAGCACAACCCTCCGGCCTGATCGGCTCACAACATCATCCCGCCACACCTATATTTCATCCGAACTGCACCTTCCCAATCCCTATGTTCAGCGCACAGAAGCTGCAGGGACGGTCGTCACTGGATCTGCCCATATAAGTGACCTTTCTTGTACCGCTTACCGTCGGGGGCCGGGAGGGGTCTAGCAGTAACGTCCACCTCAGGAGGTAGTTGGTATAGCGGTCAGTCCATCGCCGGCTATCAGAGAGAGCGTGGTTTCGACCCCGGACGGTGTGCTACTGGATTGCTTCACCCAAACCGACACAATTTTTTTTTGATCTTTTTGCTGCTGCGATTTCCAGCCTATGTGGCGTTCGCTGGTTGTCATCGTCCAGATGCAATATGTCGGTATGATCTTTTGCAGCGACAGCTTTCTCGTTCACAATCTGTGGAGTTTCTGGCATTCGAAATCAAGTATCAGCAAAAATCTGCGACGCTCTGAATATGCACATTCGACATCAATCTATGCAAAAGTCATTGAATGCAAGACACTGCTACTCATGACCGGGAAAGTCACATCGTCGACCTTCGGAAGTAACAGCAGGTTGAATGCTTGAAGCCATGATAACTTCTTCAGTATACCCAAAGAAGTTGATCTTGCTAGCTCAGGTGCTTCTACTTGGCAGTTAAGTCGAACAATCCCGATGCATTCTTACCAGACGACAACCATACACATACTGTCCTTTTCGTCACTCCTCCGTACTATAGTCCCAAAGGGGCTTGATTGAGTTATTGCGGCGGCTACTGTTGACTTCTTCAAAGTTTCGTCCAGATCAACAGACACCACCTTTCGCGTCACTCACCGGTTACGTTAGCCTCATTTTACCGGCCGAATCGGCCCCCAATTTGACCCCCAACTCAGGTCATCAGCGTCGGATCAGGCTGAGTCGAGAAGGATACGAATGAAATATTGATCACCCGTGGTGAAGATCAGCACCAAGACCCCACGATATCTTCATGCCCAACTCAAAAACGGACCGACAGCGCCTCAATAGTGTAGTAGTCAGACCGACGTTGCGATAGTCTTTTCAAAATGCTGGAGGGAACTGGACTCAAGCTCATTAGACATCAACAAAGGTACCGTCCTTCAATACGGAGTACATACGTCTCTCTAACTTACTACGAAAGAGAAGATCAACGGTCTTCATTTCCCCTTCAAAAGAATCAGCCAGCCCATTCCGTTGTCACTCTTTCCAATTGTATCTGGGCTAACACTCCCTCGGAGCATTACCTCCTCGGAGGCGTAGAAGCAATATTAAGAAGGTTAACCAGAAACGTTTGAGCGAGAGCATCCATCGGCTATGATGACCGACACCCATGTTGTCACCAACAATAACGTCGTCGTCGGGCAATCCTTGGGTTTCATTCCGCTGCCGATCGTCATAGTCGATGGGGTTCCAGAACGGGACGGACCGCTTCAGTTCACTTCGCTTCTTCCTCTTTCCAGACCATTTGTCTGATTTAGGATTTGCAATTACACTAACGTGGCATTCCAGCCTCTGTCTCATCCTTCAGACTGGAATACGGGATTTTCAAGCATCTGCATGCCTACTCTGGGAGATGTGGGATGGACAGTTGTTAAGTGTCGACGCCCGTTAGTTTGTGTGTTGAAAGTCTATCACGTTCTCACGTTCTCACGTTAGGCAACGGGTTCTTCAGGCATGGTTGAGTTGACGATTGATATTCTTCGCTCAATGCTAACTCCAATGACACTATCACATCTCTCGACAGTGGCAGACTGGCAGCAACCCCCTCCACGAGTACTCGAGCCATTGACACTACGCATTTCACACGGCCAACTCACCTGACACAACCTCACGGATACTTTTAACTCCATGTTCATAGAGAAGGCATCAAGTGATGACCCCATCCCCTTGAAATTCAGACTTTGAGCCTCCTGAACAGCACAAACAAAACCCCGTGATCTATCACCTGCCAGACTCGCTCAGCAACAAACATATGCCGACCTGACACAATACCGCCGGAAGTTGTTTGCATGTTTGCTCTTCGAGTGCACGGGTATCAACACCCCTTCCTGACTCCAACTCCAAAGCCCTAAGCCCTCCCCCTCCCTCTCACGGCCCCCTAACACCCCCATCAGACCCCTATCCAGGCCCCCCACACGCACATCACATATCACCTACCTAGTTGAGTTGCTTTCCTAAATAAGCCCCCTGTTTAATCCGTCCTATCAAAGAGAGAAGATTAGCTGGTTCAGGCCGTCTATCGAGATCTTATGCACCTAGATCACAGATCACCCGATATCCCGGGGGAAGCCGGGGATGTACCGGGAGAGACTTGCCGAGTCGGGTAGGGTAGACCGTGTCTATTGATGCCTACCGGTAAGTCGGCCGCAGTCCGGGTTAGCTGACCAAATGGACCGGCTGAGGAGAGATGGTGTTTGCTCGACCCTAAGAATCAAATCCTCGTTAGTGAGTTAGCGATACTATGTAGGTAGCTAGACTAGTAGATGGGTTAAACTACACAGTAACTAGACTAGCTAGCTGAGCCCCAATTCAGCTCATGCACGGGATGTGTATCATCCATCTATCCCCTCTATCCCCTCATCTCATAGATAAATGATAGATCGACTATCTATCTCGGCATCATGATCCGCGCATATCAGATGCACGCATGACTTTACGATTTTCGCCCCGTATTGTGTTTCCAGGATCCTGCCAGGCACCACCCAGGCAGATGGTTATCACTTTTTTCTTCGCTGATACACTAGACAGGTAGCTACCTACTGCATTGCAATGCTTTTTACACGAGAACTACTGGCTACACGACATATTACCTGCATACGTCAACACAGCCATATATGTATGCGTGAAACCTGTGCGTGAAACTACAGCGCAGCGCAACACAGTACCTATGTACATCACTAAGCCAGCATAGTGCCTGAACTTATGATATTTATATACAAGTAAGAAAAAGGCAAAAATAATAGTTCAAAAGACTAAAAAGCAAGGGATGGACGGCACTTGATCCCCATCCAAACGAGGGAAAGCGGGGGCCGGCAAGTGACATCCGGAACAGCGGGCGGCGTCGAGTCAAATCGGGTCATCGGACGGGGGAAAGTACCTCTATGTTGTATACGAGCGGGGAACCGGATGGGATAGAAGTAACTGTCTGAATGCGACAGGAAAAAATCCGTTTGTAGGCAAAGGATTTGGGAAACACTGGCTTGTCTGGGCAGGAGGGGAGGAGAAGGAGGAGGGAACGAAGAGGGGAAAGGTCAAGTTTGATATCAAAGATGTTTGCTTTTCGCTTCGTTTGTTCGCTCGCTCGCTCGCTCGTTCGCTCGTTTGGTCGTTCGCCGTTGCATGTGTCTGACTGAATGGCAGATAGTCAGCCTTGTTTAAAAACACTTCCACAGTGCTGTCAAGCAGATATGGGAGAAGTGAGTAATAGTACAAGCACGGTGCTTGCAAATGCAGTATCAGAAAGAAAAATATGTTAGGTGTGTGCGCGTGCTCGCATTTCCAATATTTCACTGCCACTTTTCAACTATCACTTACATATTGATTGATAATGAATCTCAAACCATACCTACTGCGGTTGCGAGCAAAAGTAAAACCCCCTTGTCAGGTATCTTGCACGGACCACCATAGCCAAAGCTTCGTGAGCACTGTGTCTTCGACGACCTGATCCACGGGTTAAACTTACCCATCTCACCATAGTAGTTGAATGCTTGAGATGGACGAATGAATGAGATGTTGTCGTTCGCACCTTTGTGTGGGTTTCCCCGTTTTCAGCTCGCCCATATCTTCCCCGTCTTGGCAATGCTCCAACTTTACCTACTTCGCAGCACATTTTTAGCCAAACGTACGTAATTTTTACACAGTAAACTATTTTCATTGTCTAAACAGACGAAAAGAGGGGTGGAAATGACGTGAGACATCAAACTAGTGAAATAACCTTGTATCTATTTTGTGCACATGTAACGCGGGCAGGTAGGTAGGCAGGTTGTTGTAAGAAGGCCTGTCCCTGCCTGCATACACATGTACATACCGCGTACATATGTCGACTTGACAAGCTGAGAAAAGCAAAGAGACTTACCGCCTACATGGAACTAGGTAAGAAAGACATTATCCACCTACATGGAACTAGAAAAGGTAAGGTACCTACCTACCCATCGCACCAACCATCAGGAACTGTGAAGCCAAGCAAAAATCCTAAAAACGGGAACCTGGAAAAAGAAACAAGTTCCCCTTACTTTTATCATTCGAGTTCAAGTGTTTCCCTGGTTCCAAGATACCAAGCTCAATCAGTCAGTTCACTGTGGTTGAGTCTTTGGGCCAGGACCCTGAAAATCGATTTTGGCTAGATTTGGTGAAGGGAACTCTCTGATTCCAAACTCCAGGTTTCTCTGGACGGTTGAATGGATAATCGAGGCGATGGCGATAGGGAATCCCTCTTTTGCCTCAGTCGCACCACTTTCGATGTCTTGACACACTTCATCACTCCTTTTTTTCTCAGAAAGTGATTTGATGAGTTCATATTTGACATGTCTCACCTGCTCACTTTACCACATGGAACTAGACGAGAAGTATCTACACTAATAGTAGCCCTGGTGCCGAGAACCTGGAATAGCGGAAATCCAAAGCCCCAATCCCTACGCCCGCTTGTCGTCGCCTCATCTTGCTTGTTTCTCTTCGCTTTTTCTTACCCACATTGCCCCCCAAACTTAGACACACACACACGTGGGGAATATGTTGTGCTTGGGCGGGA